AAAAAAAAAAAAAAAAAAAGATATAGGAATGTCTACTCATACACTCCTTCCTTCATGTTTCTCTTTGGTATATCAAAGACTTGAAGGGGAAAAGTTTGATGAGGAAATTTCAGCCAGGAAGAGGAGATGACAAAAGCACACCCTGTGTCTTCTCAGGGAATTGAGGGAAAAAGAAATAGAAGGACAGGAAATCAGAGCCACAAGATGTGTGTTCTGATTCACCCTCTTTGGGCCTGGAGAGGGGGTTGTAGTTCAATAAGTTGAGGGAAACATGAAAGGCAACAAGAGTGTTTTTGCTTCACTTCTGCATTTTTCCCAGAGTAAATTGCTGCTGGGAAGACCTGGGATATATTGGTCAGGCAGGCTGACTTAAGGGCCTGGAGTAACATAATCAGACAGAGAAAAATCTCTCGAACCTCTCTCTATTCCCACGTGGCTTGGACATGGAGTCGATAGTTCCCATGTGACTTGGGCATGGAGGCTGACTTAAGGGGCTAGAGTAACATAATCAAGCAGAGAAAAAAAATCTGTCGAACTTTCTCATTTCCCATGTGTCTTGGACATGGAGTTGACAGCCTGCTATGGGTGGGCCTTGCAGCAAAGGATGGGAGTAGACTTCTGGGCCAGAGACCATGTGGAGGATATGGCAGAGAGGCAGCATATGAGACCAGGAGGAGGTGATGGGGAGAATGACCTGAGGTTTCACCAGACTCAGCTTTACTATTTGAGGAGAACAGGGTGCTCTGTGACTACACAGTCAAGGGTCATCATGCAACAGCCAGCACATACCAGGCCCAGCGTCAAAACAGACATACCTCCACATGCATGCACCTACCTATCACTCATTCTAGGAGAATGCAAGCCACACACCTTGTCTCCCCAACATCTGCGAAAGCTTTCCTCCCCACTCCCCATATGGATGCCTAAGGCAAACTAGGGTGAAGGTCATGTACCCCAAAAGACCAAAAACTAAGTACTTTTATACTTTTAAAATGTTTTCTTTGTTTAAAAATTATAATTATAAAATTATAGTGTACATATATCATACAATTATAAAATTACATTATACACAAATAATACAACATAAATTGTAATTGCTATGAATAGTTAAGTACCTACTAGTCGTTTTGTCTTTCTAGAACCTTGATTTTAGTAACGCACTCATAATTAAGCAAATTCAGATTTGTTGCTAGGCCTCATCTATATATTAAATCATAATGACAGTCTGTGAATTTGTAATGAGAACTAGAATGGCCATAAATACTAATTCTTATTCCCCAGTGGTACTATATCACTGCTTATGCTACCCTTGCGGCTACTTTTTTTTTTTTTTTGAGTCAGAGTCTGACTCTGTCACCCAGGCTGCAGTGCAGTGGCACACTCATGGCCACCACAGCCTCGACCTGCTGGACTCAGGTGATCCTTTCACTTCAACCTTCCAAGTAGCTGGAACCACAGGCATGCACCATTATGCACAGCTAACTTTTGGATTTGTTGTTGAGACAAGGTCTTACCATGTTGCTCAGCCTGGTCTCAAACTCCTGAGCTCAGGAAATCCTCTCGCCTCTGCCTCCTAAAGTGCTGGGATTACAGGCACTGCCCCCAGCTTCCTTGCTGCTATTGTAGGTTGAGCATTCCTAATCTGAAAATCTCATGTGCTCCAAAATCGGAAACTTTTTGAGGGCCGACATGATGCTCAAGGGTCATACTTACAGAAGCAATTCAGATTTCAGATTAGAGATGTGCAACTGGTAAGTATTATGCAAATATTCCAAAATCTGAAAATCCAAAATTCAAAACACTTCTAGTCCTAGGAATTTCGGGTAAGGGATACTCAATCTGTACCAGCTCATACATACTAAATAATTATTATATGTCAGGCATCAACTATGCAGACTCCCAAACATAATGAGATACACACATGTGCTGTGAGAGAAAAATAAACAATTTTTCCCCCATTGATTCCATTCTTGGCTCAACCATCTTCTCACTGTATAGCTTTGGGCAACTCTCTTCCTTATATCCCTCAATTTTCCCAGCTGGAAAATAGAAACTCGACTAGATTGCTGAGTACTTTTCTAACTTTGGAAATCCATCATTTATTTTTTATCCTTTTCTTTCTTTCTTTTTTTCTTTGAGTCAGGGTCTTGCTCTGTCACCTAGGCTGGAGTGCAGTGGCATGAGCACTGCTCACGGCAGCCTCGACCTCCTGTGCTCAGGGGATCTTTCCACCTCAGACTCCCGAGTAGCTGGGACAACGGGAGTGCACCACCATGCCCAGCAAATATTTTGCTTTTTTGTAGAGACAAGGTCACATTATGTTGCTTAGGTTGGCCTCAAACTCTAGGCTCAAGCAATCTCTTTTGCCTCGGCCTCCCAAAGTGCTGGGATTATAGGCATGAGCCACTATGCCCAGCCTTATTTTCTCTTTAACTAGAATTCAATAGTTGACAATCACTAGAAATGCCTCTATTCTCTAGGGAGCTTGTAGTCACAGGAAAGTCTATCTTGCTCAGGTTTAGTCCACTGTTAATGACTTTTCCATAGTCCAAGACAAGCATCCTTTGAAATTTGGCTTCTGCCTGTCTACCCATTTGGAGAAGAGGTAAGAAGAAAATTAAGGCAGCCCGTGATTCTGTAGTTTCTGGCTCCATCTACGAAGTCAGTGGGAAAAACTTGGTCACCATGGAGAAAAAGGACTGGATTTTAGAGAATACTGGGCATCCGATACTCACTTGCATGAGAAACCTTTTTATCAGGCAGTGGCATTTCACAGTGTTTTGTCCCAAGGATAACAAGGCAGAGACCCCTGGCCGCTGGAACTATAATGCAGAACGTTCTTGACTTTCATGTCCATATTGTCATGATATATCTGTTTTGACTCTAATACTCTAGAACATGGTGGAACACAGACTCACCCCTCTGGAATCAACAGCTGCATACATAATATCCATCCAGCCCTTAAATGTTGCCTACAACAAAAGCAGAGAACATGAACACAACTGTCAGTTTTTCATCAACAGACACATGCCATGGAAAGGCAGGAAAGGCCCAGTGCACTGATATATTTAAGATGATGTCCCAACTTTCCAGGACAGAATGTTCAAATAAAAAAACAGTAGAAGGGGACTCAAGAATGTGTGCCTTGATTTTATTTTATTTGCACAATATAAAAAGTTTAAAAACAAAATTGCTTGGGTGTGGCAGCTCACGCCTATAATCTCAACATTTTGGAGGCTGAGATGGAAGATTTACTTGAGCCCAGAAGCTTGAGGCCAGCCTGGACGTCATAGAGAGACCTCATCTCTACAAAAAAAAAATCAAAAAGTTAGCTGGGCATGGTGACATGTGCCTGTAGTACCAGCTACTTGGGAAACTGAGGCAGAGGACTGCCTGAGCCCAGGAGGTCTAGACTGTGGTGAGTCATGCACATGCTACTGCACTCCAACCCAGACAACAGAGTGAGACCCTGACTCAAAAATAAAATAAAATAAAACAAAAGAAATTTCTACTTCAAAAGTCACTAGAGAAGCTGTGGTCCAACTGCTAGAAAAAGCCTGATTAAGGCTCTTTCCTGATGCCACATCTGTTTGTGCTGCCTGTCAACTGTGCCAACACCTGGCAACTGTGGTTTAAACAGGGAACTGTTCATAATGTCATAACCTATACTTAAGACTCCACTCCTCTCTGGCTGGAGCTCTGGGGAGCCAGTAAAAATGAGATATACTCATTTTTAAGGGGGCATCACTCCATCTAGAAGGCTGAGGGTCAGTAGTCAATAGAGTTAGAGATGCTCTGTAGGAGAAAATTTCAGAAGGCATTGTTTCCCACATGAGGAATTAAGAGTTTATTACCTCAGTGGAGTCACTGCATTTTTATTAGCTGGGCAATAACTTATGTTTCTTTCAGGCTTTCTCTCCTCAGAGTGAAAAGCATACCAACAGCACTTACCACTTGGAGTAGAGCGAGGTAAGCCTTCCCCACATTGTCAAAGTTGACTTTCGGATTGTCCCAGTATAAATTGTTACTTTCACATTGGTTTCGGTTTGCAATAATGCTGTAATTTATAACTAAGTCTGTTCCATTAATGCATCTTCCAAATTTTCCAGAAAAGAAGTTTACTCCCAGGATACAAAATATGAGCCAGAAAATGAGGCAGACAAGCAAAACATTCAGAATGGCAGGAATGGCACCTATGAGAGCATTGACCACCACCTTAAGGAAACGAAAGGAAAGAAAAACATAACAGACCAGTATTGATGTCCCAGAACGGGCCTGACGTGCAGGGCTGGATCTTTTCTTGGAGCTCTACCTTTACTGTCCATGCCCCTAGTCCCACCCCATGACAAGCCCTACTCTCAGCTCCATGCATAATGGTCCTCTCTATTACCACTTAGGATAATTAGAGAGATTCCCTGTGATGACAGTGTTTGAGACTTATGGGACATCCGCTCTGGGATTCTGAAGGAAAGCCAGAGTTCACCGTGGCTGTCACAAAAGCTTTAGGATGGAGACTCTATTTTGGACTTTTCTTCAACTTTCAAATTCTGAACACTGGTCTGGGTGGGATGAAGTCCAGAAAAAGCTTGGGAATTTAAGCAAATCCCACTCTGAGAAGAGTAGTTGGCCTCCCTGCCTTTTACTGTGAGCTGAACTTCTACTCTTCTTCCTGGAGAATGTACCTTCATTCCTTCAAACTGAGACAGCGCACGAAGAGGCCTCAGTGCTCGTAGGGTCCGGAAGGACTTCAAGCTCTTTAAGTCAATGAGGCTGGTCACAGAGACCTGGTGGGAAGAGAAGCCACAGGTAGTGCACCTGGCCTGGTGTCCAGGAAAGCCAAGGGCTGAGGACCCTCTTTCTGAGAAGCAGAATGCAGTGTGCTCACAGTAACAAGCCAGTCCCTCCTGAGGGCAGATGGAGAGTCCCTTTTTCTCCTTGTCTGCCAAAGCAGTAGTCCATAAGGGTGGGAAAAATGTATTTACATTATTTGTTTAATGAGAAACAAAGAAAACCTAAGAAATCATTGTGAATTAAAGGAAATCAAAGAGGCACAACAATGATATATATTATGGGATTCTGAATTGGACACTGGATTGAGGTGGAAGAGTAGAGAAAATTAACGATAAAGAACCTTGTTGTGGCAATTGACAAAAATTGAAAGTGGATGTTGATTTTAGTATTGAATCAATGTTAAATGTTCTAAGTTTCTTCATTGTATTGTGATTATGTGAGATAATGTTCTTGTTAGGAAATACATATTGACATGTTTAGGAGTAGCTGGGTGCGGAGGCTCAAGCCGATAATCCCAGCACTTTGGGAGACCGAGGTGAGACAATTGCCTGAGCCCAGGGGTTTAAGACCAGCCTGGGCAACTTGGTGAGACCTCATCTTTACAATAAATCAAAAAAATTAGCCAGGCATGGTGGCGTCTGCCTGTAGTTCTAGCTACTTAGAAGGCTGAGGGGAAGGGATTGCTTGAGCCCAGCAGGTCAAGGCTGCAATGACTGTGAGCAGCATGCCATTGCACTGCAGCCTGGGTGACAGAGTGAGACTCCAACTCAAAAAAAAAAAATGAAAAGAAATGTTTTAGGTAATGAGGGTGATGCTTGCAACTTAATCTCAAGCAATTTAGCAGGAAAAATAGAGAGAAAGACAACGACAAAGCAGATGAGTGACATGTTAATAATCTGGGGAAAAGAGTCTGGGGAAAGAATGTAGATTTTATGATGCTATTTATTGAAATATATTTTAAGTTTTAAATGACATCAAATTAAAAGTTACCAATGAAAAAATAAATATTTTGCTTGGCAATATTTTCTGTAATTCAAATAGCTCCTTTTTGGGGAAATTGAATGCAATTTTCTCTTCCAAAATACTTCTCCCTGGTTAGACAGAACTGAGGATTGGAAAGCTCTGTTAAATACACTAAAATTAAGGTCTAACAATCTGGTGAACTTAAACTAAAGACCACTCTTTGCAGATCTTCAGCTGTTCTTAATAGTTATGGAGCATCCTCAGAGTTTCAACTTGGAAGAGAAGTTGGTTGCTCAGCTGGACAGAAAGGGAGTCATGATACTCCTGACTCAGCTGATATCAGAGTTCATTATTATCTAAAAACATTCCCCATGAAACCTGCCAACCTTGTTATAGCAGTGAAAAGAAATTGATTTAATATGACAGAATAACAAAATCTTAAAACTTGTGATCAATTTCAAATGTCTTTACTTACATTTTTTTTTTTAACAGACCGTTTTGTTTATTATGGCATCACTTGTTGGGAGAGTTATTGAAGCAGTTTTCTTACAAATACTCCTTCTACATAATTCCTAGCCAGATAGAAAAGGATGGCAGAGTTTAGCAGTTCTTCTGACTTTATTAGATCATTGCCATTATTGGAGGGAAGACATGTTTCTAGAGGGGCATGGTACACTTTTTCACCTGGATGCCCACGCCAGTCTCTGTTCCACCAACGTTGGAGACATAGATGAGACACTCACATAAAACTCTCACATTTTATTTACGTTTTAATTTTATTTTAGTTGTGAGGTACCAGTGAGGATTTACTATACAAGCAAATTGTACACAAGTGAGGTTTGGGATTCTAGCGAGCCCTCTCTTCCCCAGGTCGTGGACCTGGTACTCAGTGGGTTAAAAAAAACCCACATTATTTCCCACCCACTATACTCTTTAAGTGAGAAGTCTTCCGCTTCTAGTTTTATCTTTTTATCTTATTTTTTCCCTATCGAACTTGCATTTATCACTCTGCACTATTTTAAAAATCCATCATGTTGATATATATTCTTATAGTTTATTTCTTTTAACAGTTGCAAGATATTACAGCATATAAATTTTCATGTTTCATGGATCCATTCCCCCATGTGAATATCTAGGTCATTTCTATTTCTTTATGAACAACAGTGTACTGGACAGATGTGTACAGTTTTCCTGCATACACACACAAGAATTTTCCTTGAATCAAAGTGGCATTTGTGGATTGTGAGTTGGGCTTATTTGTTATTTTACTTAAGGGTGCAAAATGTTCTTTCCAATGGCTGTACTAATTACGTTGTTAGCAGTGATTAAAGATTATATTTTTCTATATCCTTCTCAATATTAGATATCATTCAGCTTTAACATTTTTGCCAACCTGATGGGTAAAAAGAGACCTCTTGTTTTAATATGCACTTCTGTGCTAACTGATGATATAACGAGTGTATATTTCTTCATACATTCATTCCTTTTGTGAATTGCTTGTTTGTACCTTTCCCCCATTCTTACTTTCAGTTGCCTTTTATTTGTGGATCTGTAGACATTTCTTTTTATACGTTGTAAATAATAATGATCTGTTGTGTGCATGGCAAATGCTGTCTCCCAGGCTCCCGTTTGTCTTAAACTATAATTAGAGTGGTGTTGAATAGAAAAATAAAAGTTTTACATTTTGATGCAGCTGTATTTATATATCTTTTTGTGGCTTATGTTTGTATTTTTATAATCTAAAATTATGAAGATAATTTTATATACATAATCTTGATTGATAGGCAACATTATAGGATTGGTCATACATTCCCTCATTCAGTCTGTTCAACAATGTCCCAAGCTAAGCAGCATTATACATCACTTCATTACAGATGAGGAAACCTAAAGGTCAAGAGATCAACAACTTGTTTCAGGTCATAGAGCTGATAAGTGGCAAATTTGGGAACCATATCTCAGTCTGTATGATGCCAAGGCTAATAATAGTAGTGGTGAACTATTTACTGAGTTGTTTCCCTTACATACTTACTGAGTGCTTTCTCTGTGGTTTATCAAGATATATAATTATAAGACTATTTTCTTTTTTGTTGTGTTACTCATTTTGTTGTTAATATTACACTTGTCTCATTAAATGTAAGCTTTCCCTCTTTTTCTATTCATTGTAACAATTTGAATAACACTGAGGTTAAGTGCCTCTTGAAAGTGCTTCTTAAAACTTACCTGTAAAACCATCTGGGCCCGGTGCCATTTTTTGACAGTGTAGTTTTGGACTACTGTTTTGAGGTTTTTTAATGGTTATTGCTAGATGTATATTTTCTATTTTGCATTCAGTCAATCTGGGCAATTTGTAGCATATACCCTTATTTTTATTCATAGAAAATTAATGTCAGAAAAGGCAAAATGCTTTAAGTTTACACAAAAAGAGCAGACAAATTAACTCTTAAGTGTAAGTCCCTATCATGCAGATAACACTCATCTGTTCACATACATTACAGAGTTTCTTACTATAATCTATTGGTGGGTGCAGGGTTATTTCCACTCTAGAAATTGATTGGTCTGACAAACATAAGAGTGTTTCTATTCCCATATTTAAGTACTGTTAAAGTGCCTAAAGCACTGATCATCCCCCACTACAAACAGCCTTATAAAAGCCTGAACCACATGGCTGTCTATCAACCCCACTGTTTGCTGACCACATGAGTGGCATTGACCATCTTTTTCATCCTCTTAGTTACTTGAGTGGATGTATTCAGGGCCTTTCCATTGTTTATAACATCAGGTTAAAGTGCCTAAGCACTCTAGATCCTTCCAATGCTGAGGCCCATCATCTTCAGCTACAAATAGCCTTCTAAAATACCTGAGCCACATGGATTGTTGTGTGTACCAACATTACAGTTCTCCAGTGTTTGCTGACTACATGACTCATGCTCATGTATTTGTCTTATCTACTTTCTTGAATAGCAAGAACAAAGTCTAACTAATTATCTCATGACAGAAAGAATGTAACTGTTAAAATTGAGGGCTTTAGGAAAGGCCTCAGAGCCAGGCTGAGGCTCCCTGAGGAAGAAATTCCACAGCAGCCTTGATGTGCCCAAGAGACATGGTCTGTCCTCACAGCCCTCCCCATGGACTTGGGACTTGTCTGACCAGAACCTGAAGTCACCTGAGCCAACTCCATGCAAAAAATACCTCAGTATCTGCCTCCTACTGCTTCTGTTGCTCTGGTTGAGCCCTGGCTGGTACAGTTAATTTAAAAAAAAAAAATGAAGACTTTGAAGTTTTGAACCTCACCTCCATCACTTCCAGCTGGACAATCTTGAGCATGTTTCTTAGACTCTCAATACCTTGCTTTCTTCCTTTGAATTTGGGAAAAATAATAGTACCTACCACAAAGAGTGACTGTGATAACTATAAGAGAGAATGCATATGGTACAGAGAAAGCACTCAATAAATGTGGCCCACTATTACGATTATTAGCTTTAACATCATACAGATAGGGTCATAAATCCCATTTTCATCACTTATCAGCTCTATGACCTGTAATAAGTTGCTAATTATCTGAGCTTCAGGTTTGCTCATCTGCAGTGTGGTAGGTGTCAGATAAGGCTGCTTAACTGAGAATGTTTTTGAGCACATTAAATGGGAAGATGTATGTAGACAGTCCTCTTATGTTGCTTGACAATCAAGATGGGGACCCGCCTCATTTGTTGGCTGCTGACCTGCTTTGAGCAGTCTTGAAAAGATATGGAAAGTTGGAAGGAGAAGTAAAAAATCAAGGACACTGAAAGTTATTCTAGGTACACATCAGACATAAGCAGTGCTTACAGAGAGAAGTGGATGGGTGCCATCATGGAAAAGGTTGGGTGGCGAGCATAGGAAGTACTGTGTGTGAGGAGCAGGACCCAGGAAAGACTGGACTGCTGATGGACAAATGACAACTACTCACAAGTACTGTGAAGAAGCAATAATAGCAAGAAACTTCTTAAAATTTGGAGAGGTGTCCACATGAGGCACACAGGGAAAGCAGATACCACAAGATCCCCTCCCAACCCCAAGCCCAGCCTGCATGGGATACAGAGATGGCAAACTTACAATCACAATGATGAAATCGAGCCAGCACCAGGCACTGGTGAAATACTTTCCAAATCCAAAGGCCACCCATTTCAGACCCATCTCCAGGATGAAAATATATGTGAAAATAATGTCAGTACAATTTAGTAATGCTTGGATTTTGGGTTGTTGATGAAGGTAAATATCTTCAAATACCTGAAATGAAAAAGCATAGCCATAGACCAAGTTGAATATTTGCAGAGAACTCTTTAGTGACTTTATTTTTAAATTTTTCTTCTTTATGTGAATAAAGGGTAGTATCTGTCTTGGTGATAGTTTTTGAGCAGTTTTTCTCAAAATTTATTAAGGCCGAAATTTTCCAGTGGAATCAATTCCTTGAGTAAGTGAAATGGAGGAGGAAAATCCTATTTCTGTATTTCTTTTGCCATGATCGTTCCCCAGTCTCTCATCACTGGCCTCCAGAATATAAAACCATCTTCCTGATGGATCGCCGCACCATTTCCTAGACTTCCTAATCCACTCAACTCTTGCCAAATGAATCTTGCCAACTTTTTCAGAACTTCCCAGTGGCATAGACCATCACTTTCATCCTTTTAATTACCTAAGTGGATGCATTCAGGGCCTTCCATTGCTAATAACAGTAAGTCCAAGCACCTTAGCCCACACTCTGGAACTTGCCAACCCCAAGGTCCATCATCTCCCACTACAAACAGCCTTATCCATTTACCCCAGTGGTCCCTGCAAGTATTATAATTTTGTATGTGCACCATGGCATACAAAATTTGGAAAGCTGTGGGCTAGCGCTTCCAATGTAGATGACTTTAAATATTAAATGTTCATTAAGTGCGATTATGAAAAAGAGCTACATCCAAATATTTCCCTCGTTCAAAGTATGTGTGATTCTTCAGGATCTACATAACTAGGGTATAATTTGTCCTTTTGGTTTTTACAGAATTACTGAGAATGAAGGAAAGAAAGACAGCCTGAGAATAAGCCTACCCACGACATTTAGGCCAACACTGTAGGCAAGAAGGAAATCACCCCTGCTGTAGGGGACTAAGGTAAGCCCACAGTCCCCACAGCCCTGAGAGAAAAGAAGGCAAAAGAGTAAAAGAGTCTCACTTCCAACTGCCACGTGGGCTTTTGACTGGAGAAGGCCCTCCATCTCTTCCTCTGCCCTGCTGGCTCCTCCTTGGCAGTAAGATCTCAGTTGATACTTTCTATAGGAAAATGTTCTCTTCCAGCAAAACTAGGTTAGGTCCCCCTCCTATGTATCCCAGGTCACTTAATTACTCCAGCTATCCTGGTCAATCATCGCTGGTCTACCATTGCTCCATATATCTTCCCTACTAGACTCCAAATTCCTGGAGGTCCAGGACTTGTCTGTTTGCTTCTTAAGAGCAGACAGTGGTATTGGAAGCTCACTTTCTCCCTCATTTTGGAGGCTTAGCAATAAGCTGGCCCAGCAAGTCTGAGTTGGCTCAATGGAGGACTAGGCTGGTACAAGCTTGGGCTTCAGAGGCACATTATAACTAGGTCATTTTCTGATCCAGAATGTGCCCATTATTACATTGTTGCTTAGACCAGGGCTTCTCATGAGCCCCAAATCATCTAGGGAGCTTGTTACAACATAAGACTCTGATTTTCTAGCAAGCTTCCAGGTGCTGCCGGTCCATGGGTCACATACAGTGAAAAGGACTAGATGTCTTTTGCTCACATTTCTTTACAAATATGTGAAGTGAAACAGGGGCTGACCCCTCACCTGGCTCCCTCTGTATTGTGTGTTTAGTCTTGTTCTACCCAGCCTATACTTGCCCTTCTGAAGGCAGATGAGAACTAGGACTGTGTGCCCTCTGCCACACCTGACTAAACATTTTCTCTTTATGGCACTATGGGGCATTTATCTGCAACCTTTTGACAACACCACAGCTTTCTCACATACTAAAATAAATGCCACTTGTGGAATAAATAAAAGAAAGTCTACCATTTGAATAAGAGTAGACACCTAGTGAAAATACAGTCACCAGAAGACTATAGGTAACCCTGGACCAAAGATTAGCAATAAAAATTGATTAAGGGAGTTTTTTGGGATGCTTTTAGTGAGACTTGCTTTTTGTTTGAGGAATAATTTACATTGCAGTGAGTAGAGAAATGGGGAAATATATTGATCACAGTCCCTGGTGGCCTCTGGTAAACATTCTTTTCACCTAGGGATCACACAAGTATAAAGCACTAACCAGAAGTCATGGGGTATCCTTTCCATTTGTTAGTGACTTATTGAGAAATGTTCTGTCACTCTAAATCAAAAAAGGGGAACCTAAGACTCTGTTCATTTGACATAAACATTGTTTTAGACAAACAAATATAGTTTCATATTACTGTATAATCATTTTAAGGGAAGACACAAGATAGAAGGGAAGAGGAGAGAGGGAGAGGGAAAACACACAGTTGATAAGAGAGAGAATATTGTCCCCTAAGGAGGGAGGAGAAGAGGGGTAAGAAGGACTAGAAGGTGTGGAGAGAGAACAGAAGGGTGTGAAGGGCTCTGAGACTACAGACTCTGATGGGTTCAGAGTTATTTTCACACCTCACTGGGACTCATACCACACCTTGACCATGCACGTAAAGCAGAATCTCCTTATCCTTCCTTTCAAAGGACCATTAGTGATGGAAAACACCAAAGCAATTTATATTCTTGACTCTGGTTCCTGTAGGCTTTTCTCCTAATATTTTACCTTTTAGAAAGCAGCACTATAGTCTTCAGGAAAAGGGAGGCTAGGAGAATTGCTATCTAGAGGAGGAAATATGTGTGATACAGTGAAAATGTCTAGAAATTCTCCAAGAATGAGGGGTAGATGGACATGCTTGGGCTCAGGGTCCAGATTCTAGTGGCCACTTTAAAGTTATGGGTTGAGTTACTCTTCCACACAAGTAAAACATCTTTGGCTTGGGAATTTCCCAGTCAAGTGTGATTCCAGAAGTTGAGCAAAACCCTGCCCCCCTGAGGGAACCAGCAGCACCAGAGACCACTTCCACCTGGTCTCCCACATTCACAGCCCTATGTGAGGTTACGTCAGGATGCAACTCTCCAAGCTACCCTGATGTCCAGTGTCCCCCCAAGACCGTGATGATTTACCAGTGCCCCACTGCTCAGCAGAATCACAAAGATAATAAAGCTCTCAAACCAGCTGTGTTTCACTATTTTGTGGCAGGTTTTCCGCAGGTTCCACCAAATGACCCAGGGGGACTTTCTCTTGTCCATGCTGCAGCATGGGAAGCAGCATCCCAGGCCTGAAAGGAATCAGCAGTAGCACTGTTATTGTGTCTGTAATAAATTGCATTAATAGCTTTAATTCTTCACCCCTCGCTGTGTTCATGCCTCTTCCTGTGTGACCTGAAGTTCCTTCCATTAGAGCATCTTTCTAACCCCTTACATCTGAGCCTAGTCATGCAACTTCCTTTGGCCAATAGAGTCGAGTAGAAGTCATAGTGTGCCAGTTCTGAGCACAACCTTGAAAAGATTAGCATGTTTCCACTCACTTTTTTGTACCATCTCTATAAAAAAAAAAGGCATATTCAAGCTAGCCTACTGGTAGCCATGTTGCCTAGTTGAGCTCAGGCTAGAACAGTTGAACCAGGCTAGATACCACTTGCATGAATGAAGCCATCCAAGAGTAGATCAGCTGAATCACGTGGGTCTGTGTTTATGATTACATGCCACTAAGGTTTTGTGGTTATTTATTATGCAGAATTGTTTTTGGTCATTGTAAACAGATCATGTCTGTAGAACTCCATGGAATGAGGTAAGATTGCCACCCAATCTATACATAAAAGAATGTGATCAATTGTTGAGATGCTTACAAATAGCTGAGCATTTGTTCTCAACACACGCAAGCCTTAAGCATAGCTCACATCACTCTTTCTACCTTGTCTCCTCCCCCTCCCCAAATTTTGCTGATCTTTACTACTTGGTGCTTACAATACTCTGCTCCTTTCCTTATTCACTGTGGGCTCTCCTTACTCCATCCTTTTCCTCCCTCCATCTTTCAGAACATCAATAGGTTCATCTTCCTAAAAGGCTCTCTTTTTCTGTCTTTTACCCTGCTTCTCTCTTCTTTGAGAAATTCACCTTTCTTCTCCATCTCCACTGTTGAGATCCTGTGCACACCTCAAGAACCAGTCCAGATATGTCAAGAGACCTATAATCCACTGGAAGTCCCTAGCCTGACCTCTGTCCAGCTTTGGGGATGTCAAACAGCCTGGAACATGAATTTGAAACCCGTTATTTATGTTCTTTCTGCACCTGGTTTAGTTCTAAACTTAGAATTTTTTAATTTTTAGATTAATTAATTAATTTGTTAAGTCATTTATGTATTTATTTATCAACACTTGTGGAACCCATTATCTGGGCCAACTTTGATTCTTACACCAGAAACACAATGCTGATGAAGTCACTGCCTTTGTTTTTAAGGACCTCTTGGTGAAAGCAAACACAAATCCCCTGTGATGAATGCAAGAAATAATGAAGGCTCTGGGGAGAAACCACCACATCCATTCAAGGAGTTAGGCAAGACTGCATTTATTGATTGTATAGTATTGCTAGATACTCTTCTAAATGATTTATATTCACTCATTTAATGCCCACAACAACACTTTGATCTAGGTACTATTATTATTCTCATTTTATAAATGAGGCCCAGAGAGGTTAGCTAAATTGAACAAGTCACACAGTTTGTATATGGTGAGGCCAGAATTTGAGCTCAGGCAGTCTAGTTTTTGAGATGAAGATCTTGATTACAATAGTTATGTGTTTCTTTTGGTCTATGACCTCAAGTACAATGGATATACTGGGAACTATGCAAAGTGGCAAACATGTTGGCCCAGTGGGCTTTCTAAGAATGGGACTACTCTGCTTGCTGGGCTGTGTGAGTGGAGCCCACCTAAAGTAAAAGTTTCCTGAAATCTCCTCTGCCTGGACCTTACAAGGCCCCAAGAAACTATGAGTGCCGTCTCTTTGATTTTTGTCCCCAGTAGAAGTAGAAAAAACACATCTACCCAAACAACAGAGTTTCAAAGAAGAACATAAATTCCATCCAAAGATTCTGTGAACTAGATGTAGAAATACTGCCAGTTACCTTTGGGTAAACATCTCTCTGGTTCCTTTTTGGGAAGCATCTCAGGTAACTGTCCACAGGTATCCTGAAGATCAATGGTGCTACATTCTGATAGCATACTGGTAGCATCAGACTTCTGCACATCAGAATAAAAGAAAAGAGTTGTCATTTACTAAGACCCTTTCTCACCATAGTAGTGCCTAACTCTTCATTGTCTGATTTGTTAAGGATGAAACCAACTAGGCAAAGGCTTCAAAGTATGAGGGGTATCAAGAAAGCACTCTTCCTATTGGGTCCTTTTTTAAGTGTAATGACCAGTCTGAGTTCAGAAGAAAATTACCTAACTACTTTCCATGACTGAGGAACAGCAAGGCATATGAAGACAATACCTCAACCTGTTTTTCCCTACAGATCACAACCCTGATAGGCTGCCTAATCCCGATTAGGGAAGCCAGGTGATGAGGAGAAGGCTACCTCACAGAGACTATAATTTTCAGCTATCTCAGCTACTGGAGTATTAGGCCTAGCCCAGTGGTTCTCATTAATTTTATCCACCAGGAGACATTTTGGCAATGTCTGGAAGCATTTTTGATTACCACAACTGGGGAATGCTACTGATACCTAATGGGTAGAGGCCAAGAATGCTGCTGAGCATTCTACAATTCACAGAAAAGCCCACCAGAAGAAAGAATTGCCCTGCCCAATTGTCATAGTAGTGAAGTTGAGAAACCTGGCAGAGATCTTTATTCAAGACTCTGTCCTGGCAATTTTGTCTGTATTAATTCTGATATTTTTCCATAATGGTTATCCTGGAGAAGGTGTGTGTAGATAAGCCACATGTTCCTTCTAACAATACCCTAGGAAAATTACCTTTCGGGAATTCTGTACAGTCAGATAAGCATCATCTTCAGAGAACATATCAATTTCCACACTTTGAACTCCTGGGCTGGTGGATTTTTTGGTCTCCTGATGAAGTTCACAGGCCTGACACAGAGAAACCCAGAATAGTATCACTATTCCTTTTGGACATCTCATCAGAGATGAAACAAGTTTGAATTCTATTTGGTTTTCTGTTTGTCATAAGAATAGCCTCTGTCCCAGCTCACTCTAATCTTGCTCCCCTCTGAACTCCTCTGGCACCTCCCATCTATGCCACCTGTACAGGACCATGATCAGAACCTGTCCTGGGATATGCACAAGGGTATCAAAAGGCAGCCATCATATTTTATACCCTTATTATCCCTGCATAGTGCTCAGAACAGGGTAGGCAACCAGAGCCCTGTGGTAGCTCTTGCTTTGTACGACCTATGTGTGAACCTTCATACCTACCTGTATTTTAGCCTCAGATTTTGTGATTGGTTGTACATTATCTTCACCAGGAAATTCCACATCATCTTCTTCCTCTGCAAGTGGGGCCAACCAAGTTCGATCGTGCCCAATGCCCAGTGTCTTTGGTGCAGAGGTTAATCCACCAAACTCTTCCTGGATCTCTGGGCCCCTTTTCATCTCTGTGACCAGGGGAATCATGTCTTTACTTTCTGCAGTAGGTCCTCCTGTTACCTCTTTTTGCTTTGGTAATGTTTGTCTCCTGCACCGCTTGCGAAAGAAATGCTCAACAGTATGCATCACAAAACAGAAAGCCCGGTGGAACCTATTCAGGGCTAACTGGACTTTAGTTTTCCTGGCCTCTCCTTCTAAGTTTCCATCTCTCTCCTCGTTACTAAAGGAATTGAGCAGTAAAGCAATGAAGAGGTTGAGCACCTGGGAATGGGGTAGGTAACAAGGAGAATGGAAAATTTAGCAAAGGAAAGAATACAGTGGGTTTCTAGAACAACTTTTCCCCAAAACTCAAAAGAGAGGCAAATGAGAGTTCTATGTCCTGCTGTCTCCCAAGAAAGTGCATCTATGAAATAAATAAAAGAAGAGAAGATTGAGGAAGAAATATAGTAAGACAAGACTAAAGAAAAAACTTGAAGTTAAAGGGTACAAACAGCCATCAGTTTCCCTAGATATAAACAACATGCATGTGTAAACCCTGGCCAGGATAAAGTCAAATGGGATAACCGTGCGGCACAATGAAGAATGTGCATTTCTTGGGGATCAGCCGGATCATGAGCTTAAATGTTTGCTGAAATTGCCCTTGGGGGTATGAATATGATATCCAAGACCAATGTGCAGCCCTCTCCTGTTTGCACAGTTTGAGAGATGGTGTGTTTTGTGCAGTCTCTGTAGGTCCTGTTGCCCTAACCTGAATGAGCTATTGGGGCCCAGACAGGGGTTTGGATCAAACCTGCAACTCTTCTGTCAAAGCACATATCACTTTAAATTCAGATCATCCCAACAGCTTTCTCTTTGAGTTTTTGTCTAACTTATACACCCTCAAATTCACCATCTTTACCTCCTAAAATTTCTTTGTTTGAGGCTCACACCAGCTCAAAAATAGACAGCCTTTGGAGAGAAGTGCCTGTGGGTGTGAATGGGTCTGGTCATAGTTCCTCACCTTTACCCTGAGAATTTTCATCTCAAAATCTTTGCTCAAGCTCTCCTTTATTTGTCTAAGTCCTCTTTGCCTCTTAAGCGGTCTTCTTAAGTACAGACCTTTTGCAAATCCTTTCTCAGTGTTCGCTTCCCACTCCCATTGGTGATATTCTGCACTTCTGAGCTTCTGTATCACTTACTGTCTATGTACACCATTTATGAAACACTTAGGATAAAGCTATCATGTGTAGTTAATTCTATTAGCACTGTAGCCTCCAACTTGATTCTAAAGATCTGTGCTTAAGGATCCTGTGTGTCTTTTGTGCGTCTTCCTCTCTTCACTGGTGTGTACCTAATTAGCTTATCCATAAATAGCTATGCTTCCAGCTGCAAGTAACAGACTCAAGCCAACTTTCATAATAAGAAACTGTAGAATAACAAGGAGTTTGAAAGTAGAACAGGGAACCAATTATGACATGAAGACAGGTTTGTTCTGTCTTTTCACTCTACCCTCCCCAGTGTTGACTTTGTTTTAGGCTGGTTCTTCTCATGGTTGCATCATGTTTACAGATTTGGTCCAAACCCCTCTGGCTCAGCTCTGATACTTCATTGAGGTTAGGGAAACAAGATCTAAAGAGACTGCATAAAGTGTGCCATCTCTCAAATTGTGCAGACAGGAGAGGACTGCACAGTGGTTGTGAATATCAGATCCATATTCCTGTGGACAACTCCAGCAAGAATCCAAGCTCATGATTCAGTGCTTCAAGAGACCGCAGTAATCCAAAAAAAAAAAAAAAAAGCCTGGAGGAAGTAAAAGGACCACTTTTCCCCTCAAATATGTGAGGGGGAACCCCCCCAAATGAAATTTATTTATAAAAAATTGTGTATTTATTCTCACATGTTTAAACTTCAGTCACCTTCAAAGTACTGTATGTTTGATGCACTACACCTATCAAGATGCTTTTCTACTGCTCAAAATAGTTTTTGAACTTGTCAATTTTTATGCCTTTTAGTGCTTCTGCCATTTTTTGTTTCACCTCTTCCACATAGACAAAATGTTTCCCTTTGAGGACATTTTTTCATCTGGGGAAACAAACAAAAAATGACTCAAGGGAAGATTGAGTGAATAGAGAGAGTGAAACATGTGAGTCATGCTGGTTTTGGTCAAATACTGCTGAACACTCTGCAAGTGTGGGCAGGTGCACTCATAAATCACCCATTATGAAATAGGCAAATGCGTTGACAGAATCTAAAAAAAATTTCACTGAAGCCAAACGCAGTCTCTCACAAAAAATGCTAACTGGTACTCTGATGCCCATGGGTTCCTAGCACATTTAAATAATAGGGAAAGCCTGTACTACAAGGGGCCCACCCTCCAAAAGATAACTCTGGGTTTTTTTGGTGTCTCCCCATGTATATTTTTAAGTACAAAAAAATCTTTCTCAAGTTTCTCCAGTGGATCTCTCTTTATATCTTATTGACCAAATTAAGTCACAAATCCTCATCTTAGCCAAACATTGGCAAAGATAATATTATTGTATTAGAATAATCATCTGGAATAAAATAAACATTAGGCCATCAGTCAAATGAAAACTATGTGTCACAGATGTTTTGTTTAATGCTTATCATACTTTCCTCAAACTAAATTCAAATGGATGTTTAAAATATTTATTTGACATGATACATAAGATAACAATTTTCACTACTGAAGTGTTGCAAAGAAAGCGATTCCATTTGAGAGGCATTTTTTTACAAAATCTAAGAAACTTACCACAAGTTTTCCTATCACCATGATCAACACAAAGACAATAACACACAATGGTGCATTTGCTTCCTGCATACATTCCCACATGTTTTCGATCCATTCTCCACAGAGGATGCGAAATACCACTAGGAAGGAGTGATAGAAATCCCCCATGTGCCAGCGTCGTAAACATGAGGATGTAGGGTCACAGGATTTGTTACTCTTTTGGGAACTGAATTGAGCACCAAAAAGCTGCATGCCGACTACTGAGAATATAAAGACCACAATGGCCAGGACCACAGTCAAGTTTCCAAGGGCTCCAACGGAATGGCCGATTATCTTAATTAGCGTGTTTAAAGTTGGCCAGGATTTGGCTAACTTGAAGACCCTCAGCTGTAAAAACAGACAAAAAACAAGAAAGGAAAAAAAGTCAGTTAAGGACAAACTCCATCTTTTTGTCTATAAAGCAAATAACATATTCCCAAACTACAGCACTTAATGACTTCTAAAATTCTTTACAAGGCCTAATCCATCTTGAACATAATCACCCACAACCTGTCCCAATCTAATACTCACCTGTATTTATGCATATAGGTAATTAATTATTTATTTATTTATTTTAGTTGGGGTGTCACTTTGTTGCCCTGGTTGGGATGCAGTGGCATGATCATGGCTCACCACAGTCTTCACTTCCTGGGCTCAGCTGATTCTTCTGCCTCAGGCTCCCAAGTAACTGGCACTACAGGCATGCAACATCATGCCCAGATAATTTTTGATTTTTTGTTGAGACAAGGTCTTATTATGTTGCACAGGTTGGTCTCAAACATCTAAGTTCAAGCAATTCTCCCATCTTAGCCTCCCAAAGTGCTGGGATTCTGACATGAGCCACTGTACCTGACCGTACTTTTTTATTTAAAAGTGAAAATATTTTTGTTCTAATATTTTTAATGATAAAATTTTAAGATAGCATGTGATTTATCATGCATGATTATTATTTAAAATGAACGTTTTGAACTTCTATATAATATACCAAAGATCAACAAACTCTGGCCTGAGGGCCAAGTCCAGCCCATTACTTGTTTTTATATGACCTGAGAGATAAGAAATCTTTTTGCATTTTTAAATGGCTGAAAAATAATTAAAAGAAAAACATTTCATAACACACAAAATCATATGAAGTTCAAATTTCTATATCTATAAATAACATTTTATTGGAACATAGCCATGCCACTGGTTTTCAAATGCTTATGACTACTTTTATGCTGCAATGGCAAAGTATAATGGCTGTGATAGATGCACATGGCCTGTAAGGTTAAAAATATTTACTGGCCCTTTACAGAAAACATTTGTTAACTCCTGCATTATATAATTCAGGCCACACATCTGAATCTAAACCTTATAGCAATAAAAAGAGTAATATGATGCTTTGTACCCAGGAGAGAAAATTTGACTGGCTATTCAAGACACAAATACTTTTTCCAAAGGGAAATTTTATCCTGGAAATGTGCAGGCCTTCCAGGAAACAATAACCTTAAAGAAAGCACAGCAATTCATCTTGTAGGTTGTTTCTTATATTAACTTGCTATGTAAACTAATGGTTTTACTCTAAAGCACAGTCCTGTTAAGAAACAACTATTTGGGGATGGACATATTACAGACAAGGAAGACTTATATCATGGTCTACTCAAAGGGAAGCTAGAGCATCCCAGGAAGAAATTGTGATTCTGTTCTCATATTCAGACTATGCCACAAAGTTGCTTGTCTCAGAGCATGGCTGTAATAAGACTATGAGGTAAAGCAAATGCAATTTTGCTTACCTGAGTGCCAATAAAACATTATTTTAAAAAGCCTAACAATGCCTGATTTTGAGCAGTGTAACCTCCTTCCATATCCCAAGTATAAAAAGTATAAAATGTACACTTAGGTAACTGAATCAAGTGTCTTACTCTTTAGACTTAGAAAACACCCCCCGCCCTAAATCAAAGGTAAATATCTTAGAGAACAAAAGTTTACCTTGGAGGCTTTCCAGCTCCGTTCTCAGATGTCTTTTCTCTAGTTTTTCTCTGTAGTTTTTTTTTTTTAACCCATATATACCTCTCCTGAGCTCTGTCACACTCTGCTGTGCACTGTGGTCATTTCTGGCCCAGTCTGGCCCTGTGCTTTAAACTCCTTGAAGACAGTGAGTTCCCTAATTTTTGTACCTTTCCTCATGCCAGGATACCTCCAAACTGGTGGATAGAGGGCAAAGACTACAGAACAGGAGTGTGACATTGCAGGAGTGAGAGGGGACCTCATTGTGGGACAGCATCTTGAGCAGCACTCATCCTTCTCCTGGGCTTTGTAGTCTTAACCACGCTTGATGAGCCCAACATGAAGATACTGGCCTTGGAGCTCCATGAGAGAAGAGTGTATTGGAGGGATCATAAATAAGCAAGGGGCAAAGTCTTGAACCGGGAGAAACAATTTTCCACTGAGTTGCCTAAAGGGTCATCTTGATGGTGGTAGGGAGGGGGTGAGGGGGAGTGGTAAGGATTGAGAGTTCAGCTGAGAAAAATATCCTGGCACTCCCAAGGCTATTAAAGATCTGGGCAGGAGGAGGAGAGGTAAAGTTTTGGTTCTGGGATTAAGATAAGATGAATTAAATTTCATCCAAGATAGCTATTGAACTCGCTCAAGACTCTTTTCAATCTGGGCAGCTAAGTTATGCAATAAAAGAAAGTGCCTTACCACTCTGAAGGAACGCAAGAATGGCCAGCTTTTTTTTTCAAATATACTGTACAGTACATCTGCAAAGCTCAGAAGAGCAACAATGCTGTCAAAAATGTTCCAGCCTCGGCGAAAGTAGTGGTAGGGATCAAGTGCAATGATTTTTAGGCACATCTCTGCTATAAAAATGCCAGTGAAAACCTAGAGTGAAACAAAGAAAAATGAGAGAAGGAAGCTTCCTCTCCTTGGAGACACACTTTTAAGAACAGTCCGAGGGAACTATGGAGATCACAAAAATTAAAAGTACTCTCACGGTTAAAATACTGTACTCTAAAGTCCATGCAATAGAAGCTTTTACTGCTGTACCATGAGCCTCATTATGTCTTTCCATGTCTCCCCATTCCTCTCCATGGGACCCAGCCCAGTGTTACCAAGCTCAAGACATCAGGATGGAAAATGAAAAGTATTTCCTGTTCTGTTGGAAAGAAGGCAAAACTGGCCTCTTGGTTGACAGCAGGGGGATAGGAAGCGTCAGGCAATTCCTCCTCTGAATTTTCTGTAAAATACCAATTAAAACTTCAAATGGGAGGAGAGGGAGGATGCACAGCAGCCCCGAAAACTAAGGATAAATATCCTCTACAAACCAGAATCCAGGAGGAGCTCACCTGACCACGCAATCACAACACATTGATCAGAAAAAAACTAAAAAACAAAAAAGAGGTCTATAGCAGAGAATTTTAAAACATTGCCAGGCACAGAAAAATGTCTTTGAGCAAGTCAATATGCAGGATAAGCCCTAAATTGGATACAGTTGAAAGGAGGGTTAGTGGATCAGAATATAATCCTAAAAAGTCAACCAGAATGCAGGGCTCATAATTCCAGAATAAAATATCAAAGAATAAAAAGGAGGGGCAAGAATTACAAAAAAGTGCTAAATTTTGTGTTGTCCATGGGCAAAAATAGTTTTTGTCTTTGTCTTTGTCAAGAATATAAATACAAACTTACGAAATTTGTGAAAATGTTGTAAGTAGCAGCCAAATTTAAAACTATATCTATCTTCCAGATCTTTGCAGAAAACAAAGCAAATAATTTCTTTGCAGCAAATAGCCCATTCTCTATCACATACATGCACACATAAATACACAAATGAAAAATGTAAGGATATCAAAAATAACAAGGTAATATTAAAAATGTTAAACCTTTAAAAATGCTAGTTATGACTATGCACTACAGTTCTGGGGTTAAAAAAACCCTATAAATGATTAAATCCCATTATTAAAAGTAATGGATTATCAGTTTTAATAAATAATTCCATGATTTACTACTTATGAAAAACATGCCTAAAATAAAATGGCACAAGTTAAAAATAAAAGGATAGGCAAAGAAAAACCCAGGACAGACAAATAAAAAGAAATCAAGGGTGGCAAGGAAAATTCAAGCTTATCTCCATATTTCCCCTTTAATCATTGCTGTCTACTCCTGTTCAATGTCACCACCAGTACCTAAAAGCATACGGTAGTGCCTGTCCAGATAATTGCATGGTGATCTCCACCTCTTTTGACTCATTCCTTCTCCTCTTGCTCCTTCAGGCTTTTCTTATTTGGACCAGCAGATGAAGTGATAACAGACCATCAATTTTGCAACTGGGAAGCCCTTTCTAGGAGATGGCTCTGAGTTCTTTGGGTAATCTCCAGAACGTATCCAATAACTCCATTCCACCAGGGGGTGCTAAAAAGAAGAGTCTGCCAGCTCTGAGGCAGTAACCATACCCCTGCAGACACAGCATTCTACCTCCAGATGAAACAATACTGACAGACTATTTCTGGGATACCTCAGCAGGTAATAGCTGAATAAGTTGGTACAGAGCCCAGAAGATCTCTACCTGTTAGGAGGAACTGACTCTGTGTTAGGTCTATCATGCAGCATGGAATCGAGTCTCACCCATTTACATCCACAAGGCATTTATCTCAAAGGCAGCATGGAGACAGGAACTTAAATGCAGACTGCCTGTTAGGAGAGCCACCCTGGTCTCATACTACAGCCCCGCTGTATTCCTGCTCCTCGTGGGAGGAGCATGGAACTAAGGGTGACAGATACCTCTTTCCAGTTCCACACCATCCTTAACTTGATGCACAGCAGCAGCTTTGTGAACCAACTCCTGATTCAATATGTACATTAGGTTCTCATCGATGTAACAAACAAAACAAAAAAATGCATGCACAAAGAAATCACAAACAACTCCCCTCAAAAGAAAAGAAAAAAAACAACAAACAAAAATGCAGCATAGAAACATATATAAATATTGCGTGAAAATTTTCTGCAATGCTAAAGGTGATCATCTTTGCTAGTAGGATTATGGGAAATTAATTTCTTCTTTGTAGTTCCCTTTTTAATATTTTTCCTCATTTAAAAAAACAAAATAAGCATGAATTAATTTTTTTAAATTAGAAAAATAAAACAAAATGTTAAGAAGAAAAGGCTAGGTACTCTGGTAAGATGTTTTAGCCCATTAACTCATTAACTAATTAGGGTAAAACATACAGGGGGCAATTATTTGTTGTTTCTGATATTTGAGGGATGAATCTTCCCTTGAGAAAAATGCCTGCTACAGTAACCATGAATTAAAATGAACAGTCCTGAAAAAATCTGCTTCCCTATTTTGTCATCCCAGTTTAACAGAGACTAGATCCATCCAATGAGAAATATATTGAAGCAGGTTCAAGTCTGGAGACCCACCCCTCCACCAACCCTGATGGCTCCCCACAACCGCTCCCAGGAAAGTGAACCTTCCACAGCTGAATCATCTTTCTAAGGAGAAAAAAACTAGTAAGGACAGCCGCAATTTTTTTTTAATGAAAATGATATCATTGATATCACTGGGAACCCTGGTAGTCGTTACCATGGGTCTCTGGATATGGTGGAGATTTCCTGATTGTCTCATATAGCTGATCTTTGAGGATGTCTGCTTGCTTCTCACTTACCATTGGATAAGGGACACATGGACATACCAGAGGGCCATCATGGGGCCCATGGAAAATTACTGAAATGAGCTGGGTCAAAATAAAATCACAATGTCATCTTTTCCTTCTGCTCTACTTTAGGGGACCAGAAACTTAGGTTAGGTTAGGCCACTCAAAGAATATTTAGATTTTAAAAGAGTTATAAATTAAGGTTTGACGTGTTTTAAAATATATTTTTAACAGGCTGAAGTTACCAAATTCCCTGTATTCAACATAGTTTCAAAAAAGGGTTGCATTCTGTGATGCTCCATGGCCAAGAAGATAGTGTTGATTATGATGCAGATGGTGATGGCCAGCTCAATAAAGGGGTCGGTCATCACGGTTCTCAGGACCTTCTTAATGCATAGCCACTGGGGGCTACAGTCCCACACGAGATACTTGGATAACAGCTTTTCCCCACAAGGGAGACAAGGCTCCTGTGATTTTTCTTGTTCTGGAGAAGAACAAAAGAGTGGTTGAGGAGTTAGCTCTGAACCAGTCTGGCTGCTCTTTGCCTAAATGAATTCTTTCCTCCCTCTTCCCCAGGGTCTCTTGCATCACATGATCAGTTGAGAAGAGTACTGACTTGTATAGCTAGACAGGTTTTTCCACCAATCACAGTGCAGAAGTCAATGACCACATACAACTACCATGATATATAGTTAAGTACATCAAGACTCTACAATATTATTGAGCATTTAGGAACTAAACAGCATAGTTAGAAAAATAGATGTGGAAATCAACACCGGCTGGCTATGAACCCATGAGAGAGTCCAAGATTCAGGTCTAAGCTATGTCCACTCAAGACAGATCATAGATACAGCTGTAACAGAGGCACAGGGGTGATCGGGGCTTAGGGGAAGGCTAGATAGTCAGGCAGGGGCATCTGAAAGCACTGAAATAATAAAAGAAACTCTATAAGCTTGTTGAGCTTAGGACATAAAGCAACTGCCCCCTTGCTTTCCCTGGCACCATTTCAGGAACAAATGAGGTGATAATATTGGCTCAAAGGTACTAAGGAACCCATTTGATCCTACCTTGGCAGAGACTTAATCCTGTCCCTGAACACCATCTCCTTAGCTGGGGCCATGTTATCTGATGTTAATCTGATGTTAATCCTGTCTACACAGGTCTTCAATTGCCCATGCAGATTTCTGACTTTAACTTTGATAAGAATGAAAACTTGCTACCTCCTGGAGACTTCTAAGTCTTCTTTTCTTTGGCTGACTATTTTTGTCACTCAGATCCACTGTGACTGCCTGGCCTGGTTGTGAGACCCTGTTTATCATTTGGTCTGAAGTCTGATCCCAAGTCTAGCCAGCTCCCATCACTACTCAAGTACCAGCTCAGAGGTGGCCCACAGGGAAGGCTCACTTCTTGCAAGTCACTTTGATTACATGCTCCAAAGAGACATGAATCACTCTTTGCAGGACTACACAGTATGTTGGTTCCAAAATAGTCTCCTTTTCAGAGGGCATCTGGGGGACTGGGGAGAGGGAGAATGGGAGGACATTGTTGAAGCCAGGCTTTTCCTTGGTCTGGAAGGCGGAACTTACCCTGCATGGTGATGGTGAGGATGCTGACAGCACTCAGTGCCCTCTGCCTTTGGAAGGGATCTCTGTGCTCATCAAAGTGATCCATTGACAGATTCTGGGACAGTCGTTTAGTTTGCTCAAGGAGATGTGGCTGTAAGAGAAGGAATAGTGGACCTTCTAAAGGCAGGAACTGCTTCTGCTTAAAACCACAAACTACTTGATTTCAGTGCCACAAGCAGTGAAGGTGTTCAACATTTTTTATAGATTGACTCACCTCATCTTCACAGTATGCCAAATGCTGTTTTTAAATTTCACATTTAGTAGAGAAAAGAGAAATATGGTTTAGCCATCTATATTTCTCATGCATGTGCATTTTTTTTTTTTTTTTGAGTTGGAGTCTCACTCCGTTGCCCAGACTGGAGTGCAGTGGCACACTCCTGGCCAACCCCAGTGTCAAACTGCTAGGCTCAGGCAATCCTTCCACCTCAGCCTTCCAAGTAACTGGATCTACAAGCATGTGCTGCCATGCCTGTTTGATTTTTTTTATTTATTGTAGAGATGAGGTCTTGTCAAGTTGCCCAGGCTGGTCTTGAACCCATGGGCTCAGGCAACCCTCTCACCTCGGCCTCCCAAAGTGCTGGGATTATAGGCTGAGTCATTGCGCCCAGACATGCATGTGCATTTCTAGAATCCTGCTTCGTAGATATTTTATGTTCTCTGTGTTTTATTCATTGTCAACAGAGAGCAAAAAAAATTTCCAAAAATGAGTGAGCAATGGCTCAGGGTATAAAAACAAAGTCCAATTTGAAAACAATGTTTGCAAGGGGCAGAAGCAGGTTATAAATTTAGAAGGTAGACTGGGGACAGATAGCGAAGTGCCTTAAACAACTATCTAAACTGATTTAAAAACAGTTGGTAACAAAGAAAAACCAGTCTAACTGAATAGCACAAATTTGACTTACCAAACTCAAGCATGATCTCAGGCTATTCCCATGAGCTTGTTGACTCTCACTTTATTTACTATTCTAAAGTCACTGGAGATGAAAGGACCCGAATCTCCAGCTATCCAGAAAACTCAGTTATCCATAATGGCTATTTCCCAAAAGGTTCTGACCAACCAGGGCCCCAGAGGGAACTATTCCTTTGGAATAAGCTAATCTGGTAGTCTTTCTATAGCTATTCCCTATTCTCGTAAAAGAGAAAAAACATTTTATATTAAGTGTCTGGAGTCCTGTGAAATGAGGAAAAACTTTAAAAATATCAAAAGAAATATTTGCAGTCTCTTCATTATGCAGTCATCTGACAGCAAAGAAGTCTCTAAACCACGAAGTCTGCCCCTATCACCACAGCAGAGGACTGATTATAGTAGTGGATGGGATCCTTCTGTCTAATTCTGCAAAGCCCCTGGACTCCCTTTCCCTACCCTATGATCAGGCATGCACGCCTACCTCCTACCCACTTCATCTCTCTATTTCTGTCTCAAGAAAGTAGCTCTGTCGTCTTTCCCTGGCCTGTATCCTCAGCATCCTGTCTTCTGACTTTTCTCTTGACAATTAAAATGTCTGAACATCTGTCACCTTAGTGACAACAATAACTTTTTCTTTTTTTTTTTTTTGAGTTGGAGTCTCACTCTGTTGCCCAGACTGTAGTGCAGTGGCCGCTTCCAGCCACTGCAGCCTCGACCTGCTGGGCTCCAGCGATCCTTCCACCTCAGCCTTCCAAGGAGCTGGAACTATAGGTGCATGCTACCACGCCCGGCTAGTTTTTGATATATTGTAGAGATGAGGTCTTGCCAAGTTGCCCAGGCGGGTCTCGAACCCGCGGGCTCAGGCAATCCACTCACTTCAGCCTCCCAAAGCATGAGATTACAGGCTGAGCCACCGAGCCCAGCTCAACAATAACTTTTTCTACAGTCCATTCCCCCACAGCTTCATTTCTGCCCATCACTCTACCTATTCAACATGCCTGCTTGGATGTCCCATAGACACCTCAAAGTTGGCACATCCAAAACTGAACTTGCCATCTTTCCTATCCCCAAAATGTGTTCCTTTCCTGTCTCAGTAAATTACCCTCTATCAAGTCAGCTACCCACAGCAGAAACCAGTTATCCTTCCCACCCAACATTCAACTGCCAAATTTTATCTTCTGCAGACCACCATTAATCTCTCTTCATCCTCACTGTCCAAACCCTGGTTTAACCCATTGCCACATCTTACTTGGGTTACTGCAACAAACTCTTCATTGGTTATCTCCAGTCTTGCCCTACTCCAATCTCCTCTACTCAATGCATCTGAGATTTCAAAAATGTAAATCTGGTCCCATTTCTCTTTTGTGCAAAACTTTTCAGTGCTGCTCACCCCTTGTTCCTCAGTGCAAAGGGCAAACTCTTTAGCTTGGCTTTCAAGGCCTTTTGTGATCACCCACATCTGAATATTATAGCCTGTGCCACCCACCTTCCTGTAGCCTCATAACTAACACACACACACACACACACACACACACACACACGTGTGTGTTCACACACACTTGTAAGTTTTCTAACATTCTCTTGCTTGCCTTTGTTTCTAGGCCTTCTTACATGCTGTTCTCAGTGCTGGTAATGCTCAATTCTTCCTTCTGCCTAGTGAATTCATCCTTTCAACACAGATGCTACTTCTTCTGGGAACCGTTTTCTGAACCACTGCTTTTCCCCCAGTCCCCACCAAGTCTGGACTGGCTATCTGAAGCAGATATTGTTGGTTTTCCCATTCATATGTCCTTGGGCCTTCCTTGAGGGCTTTCTTTGGTGACCCAAATCCCCTCTGCCCTAGTGCACCACAAGTCATAAATGCCGGGCAAGCATTGCCTCCAGACTTCAGCAATCATATATATATATATATATATATTCTAATGCCCTCACTCCAGATGTATTAAACTTCAACTGCCTGGCTTCCATGGTAACTGGCTTGCTAATCATCTTCACTGGCCACCTTCCCTTCCATGTATCATTTTTTCCCTTCCTTCTTGGTGTTTGGAATCACTTCCTAATAATCTGCTTGCACTCTAATGTCCTTGGGTGTGCTTCAGAGGGAACCCACACTAACACATTGCTCCTCCCCTGTTTTCCCACAGCAATCATCATGTCAATCATCACACTGAATAGTAACTGATTCCTTATTTGTGTGTCTTCCTCATTAGTTGTAAACTCTGTGGAATATAAACCATGGATCTCCGGTACCTACTATAGTACCAAGCAGATAGAAAACACTGTAAACACTTTAAATAGATGCTTATAAGTAAGTGGGTAATTGAATAGACACATGGATGTAAGAAAGCATGTGCAAATGGATGAATAGATAAACAAGTAAATGAATAAGTGAATCCTTTCAATGAGATTGGCAACTAGACCTGTCCCCCAGGACAGCACTATGGTATTATTAATCCCCTGGACTAGACTTACCTTTTTTTTTGAATCTTCTTCAGAATCTGATCCTGGAGCCTGGTCTTTCCCAGACTCTCTCAAAAAGAAAGATGTTCTTTTCTTATTTCCAAAGAGCTTTCTCTTTTTTGGGGAAAAAGATGATGCTTCAAGAGAAGTAAGTGAACTTCTGTCAATTCCCATGGCAACCAGAGCCTTAGAAAGCGAACAAAAGCAATTAACAAACAGATTATATCTCCTCATAAAACACTGCAAATGACCCTGGCCTCAGACTGGTGGAACTCTCCTCTTTTTTGGTAGCATTGTGCCATTTAGATTGCTCATCATCTGGTTGGAATATGCTAGCTCTATCATTATGTATCTAAGGGACATGTTCTATTTTTTGCAGAGAGATTGCAGCCATCAAAGGCAGCGATGACTCTTTCATACCTCTGTGTCACTGGCCCTTAGCAAAATGGATAGCATGTGTGAGGCACTCAATAAATGTTTATGCTTGATGATGTAGATATTAAGCCCTTGTGATAGGCATCTTTTTGGCAAATTTCTGTAGAGAATGAAAAGGAATATAAAACATGGTCCCCACCCTGAAAATCTTAGAACTGAGATGGAAGAGTGTAGAGATTCCAGGGAAACTATTAGAATGGCCTGTAAAAATGACAGGGATTCAGGTAGGGAGAGATGATTATGGTTGTTGTTCTAGAACCTACCTCAAGCAAAGGCCCTGAATACAAACATCTCCTGAGTTCCACAAGAAAGCCTCCAAAGAGCCTGAATTTACATACACATAAGCTGTACCCTGTAGCCAGTAATTTTGGGGCATATCCTAGAAGGTCCAGGCTTCAGAAGGTACAAAAACATCAAGACCTAGTGGTCTCTGTTCTCAAGAGCCCAGAGTCTGGACAACTTTGTGAGAGATAGCAGCATAGCCCATCTGCAGGGAGCTTAAATTCTCAGCAAAGCACTAGTAGAGTAAGTGCTGAGACCAGGCCTCAGGCCACATTACCTCTGGGGTCTTCCTTCCCTTTCCCCAAACAGATCTCACCATCTGATGTCATGTTTCTACCTCTTTCTCCTCCTTTAATAGCTGCTGGGCTTCCTGAAACATCTTTTCCTTGGCCTCTGTTTCTGCAGCTACATTCTTGTTCTGTTCCTCATAAGCCATGGTGACGACAGCCAGGGTTAAGTTAATCAGATAGAAAGAGCCCAGGAAGATGACCAGTATGAAGAAGAAGACTGAGTAGAGCCCAGCAGTGAGCAGGGTCTGCAAAGGACAGAGCATGTGCTTAAATCTGAAGCCTTCTTCCACAGACCAGTGGTTATCACCTCAAACAAAGATTACACAGTAGCAAATAATTGTGCTCCCCCCAACACTGGTTGGTTCAGCTGACCACAGCATCCGTCCACAGCCTTCCCAGTCCCCCAGGGAATCCTGATGCCCTGTCTCTCAGTGCAGAGTTGCCATCCACACCTTCACACAGAAGTTTCAGTGACCTCAATATCTATGACATTTTCAAAAGTATTTGCCTTTTTAAAATAAAAAAGACGAGAGAGAGGTAGTGTGAGTGGTGAAACTTCAAGCAGTAGAGACTCTGAAGAGGAGTGATATTTCTAGGAAGAGAAGTGTTTTGCACTCCTTTTTAAAATATTACTTTTACAATTGTCTTGTAGTTTCTAACACAATTTCAAAAGCAGAATTTAACAATATAGTTGTTAAAGATGACAAAAGTGGAAGATAGTTGGTAAGCTGTAAATAAATGGCAGATAGATGCATGACAGATATAGGGGGAGGGAGGAAGGAAAAAGAGAGACTATAAATAGATGACCTGTTGATAAAGTTTCTCCCAGGAATCTTGGGTCATAAGCCGGAACATGGCAAGAAAAGACCAGCCAAAGTTGTCAAAATTCGTGTAACCATAGTCAGGATTAATTGTGGTGTGGTTGCATTTAAATTCGCTGGAACAGGCTCTAGATACCAGAAACAAAGGAACAGAGAAAGAATTACACACCCCACAGCGCAGCTTCCCTTTACCCCAATGATGTGGTTCTTTAGAAGGCTGTGGGCCCCCAAAAGAAAGCCCTAGAGGAAGGAGGTTTTTATAGAGTGGCCATCCCCCTGTCTGACAAGCCTCCCAGCCCACTCCTTAATGTGGATGCCATTGACTCTTCCAATGAATTGATTAATCAATTCATATGAACAAGCTTTTCATTGAAAAATCAAGCGCAGTGGCACAGTGAACAATTAACAATAAAAAAGCACATACAATGAATACATGTTACCCTCTCTCCCCAGTCTCTTGAGCCTACTTCCTAGAGGCAACAGTTAACTTTGTAATTTTCCAGTAGTTTCCTACAAATATAGAAGCACATGTATATGTATACATCTTTTATAATACACAAACCGGAGCATATCTTGAGCACTCTCTTGCACCTGCTTTTTTAATGGATGTATAATATCCACAAAATCCCAGTTTTGAATACATAATATCCATAACAACAATATAGCTTAGAGGTCTTTCCATATCAGCATACAGGGAGCTATCTCATTCCATGTCTATAGTCCAATGATTCATTTAATTGATCAACTGATGATGAACATTTAGATTTCAGTGATGAAAAGTCCTTTACTCTAATAAACATCTGGGCAATTAATATCTTTGAACATAGGTTTCTGCCCATATTATCAAAGCACACATCATTGGGTGTGCCTATAGGATATGCTAAGGATATGTACTTTCTTCATTGTTAATAAATATAGCAATTTAATTAAAGTGATACATACATATGTTTTTAAAATTGCATGCACCAAAAAGTTCAAAATGAAATCAATTGTGTCATTCATTAACTGTCATTTATACACCCCACATTCTATAACTTTTAACTCTGTTACATCCATATCTCCAATTAGTGCTTATATCAATATTTGATTTGTCAATTGTAGTCCTTCTTGGTTAATTTCCCATTGTGGTAGATGAAGGCTGGCTTTCTAACACCCCATACCACTCTTCATTGCTACCTGTATCAGCCTTCACAGAAAAATATTGTGACCTGTGTCAATGGCGTTCCCAGGTTTTCCTGGCTTCTGCATGTTGCCCTTTCCGGGTTTTACTCCCTTATTTTTCTGGAGCACCTCTCAAATAGCTTCTTAATAAGATCGAATCATCTTTGCATATATGAATATGTATTTATTCCACATTTATAATCAATTGATACTTTGGCCAGAAATAGAATTCTGTGTTGAAAATAATTTTTCTTTAGAAATGTGAAGGCACTGCTCAGCTATTAAGAATTCTTGTGCCACTTTGATTTTTGTTCCTTTGTGAGTGACCTTTTATTCCCCTTTAGTTTTAAGGTATGCCCTCCCCCAAAGTTCTGAAATGCCACGATAATGCACTTGGCACAGCCCTTTTTCATTCACCGTGTTGAGCACATTTGGGAGCACTGAGGGACTTGCATCCTTAGTCCCAGGGAAATTCTCCATATAATTTCTTCACTCATTTTCTTCCTTTTGTTTTTTCTATGCTCTATTTCTGGAATTCCTACTTAGTCAAAAATGAGGACTTTTGTATTTATATTTATCCTCATATTTTCTGTTTCTGTCTTTTGTTCCTACTTTCTGGGCTATTTTCTCAACTTTATCTTTTAGTTCTATTATTGATTTTTTTTTGCAATCATATATCATCTCTATTAAATCTTGTTTTCTGGCTGTTATTTTTTATGTATGAAGTCTGCCAAGTAAGTTTGTGAACTTCTCCTAGAAAAAGTTCTACATACCTCATTGGTGAATTGATCACTGTGATCACTTTCAAAGTACACCCCTTGGGAAGCTATACACCAATGTTAATGTCTAGTATACCTGTCAAAACAATTTTGGAACTCTTTTTCTGGAATGGCCAACAGAGTTGTTGTTGTATTACCCTTGATGTACTGAATGTCATCAAAATGTCTTCCTTTTGATATTTCCTTTGTCTTTGGCTAAAGAAAAAAGTCACTGGGGGCCAAATTAGGTGAGTAGGGAGGGTGTTCCAATACAGTTATTTGTTTACTGGCTAAAAACTCCCTCACAGACAGTGCTGTGTGAGCTGGTGCATTGTCATGATGCAAGAGCTCCTTTGGGACCATTTTTTGCATAAATTTTTCTCATATCAAGTTTTTCTGTTAAGATTTTTCTGTTTCTCCATCGATGTTTATTTGGTCTGCTGTGCTTCTTATAGTTAGCTGATGATTTTGATGCACATTTCGACAAATTTTTGCAATGCTTTTGTCAGTTTTACTCGGTACTGACTATCCTAACCTCTTCATCAGTGATGCTTTCTCTCTCCTCAGAAAAATATTGAATCCGTTTATACACTGCCATTTTCTTCATGGCATTATCTTCGTAAACTTGGACTAACATGTCTCTGATTTCACTTTCACTCTTGCCAAGCTTAACAAGAAACTGTTCTTTGCTCTAATTCAGACTCTGACATTCTCATGATGACAGTTCAGATGGTCATTCCAGAAAAAAGAGTTCCAAAATTGCTTTGTCAGGTGAACTAGGCACGGCATCGGTGCATAGCTTCCCTAGGAGAGTACTTCAAAGGTGACTGTAGTGATATTCAGCAATAAGATATATATCACTTTTTCTAGGATAAATTTGCAAACTTAATTGTCAGATCTCATGATAAACTATTTTTGGTTTTCTAGATATGGCATTTCTTTTAATTTCACTGAGGATACTATTTAAAGTTTTTAAAAACCTTTTTGGTTCTTGGAATTCTTGTTTTTTCTGTGGCCACTTTTTCTGTTGCTTTATCATGACCTCCTTTATATCAAAGACTTTCTTTAGATGCCCGGTGAACCTGGGCTGTTCAGTGACATGAATTGGAGGTTCTGACAAGCTCGGGATTTGCTTGGTCAGCAGTAGCACTTCGTGGTTGATGGGTTTTGCTTTAGGGTGACTAAAGAAGAGGGTATACCCTCTCTCCCACTAGGCCTGGTGGAAATTTAGTGACACCCCAGTGCCCTCTATCTTCCAAGGTCCTGTTGAAGATGGACCTACTATATTTGATCTCCTTCATTTCCTGATCATCATTCAAAATATAAGACTGTTTTTGTCCAATTTCCTCCTCTCTGAATATACCTTTCTATCTGGATATACCTTTCCATCGACTTATATGAATAATTAAGCCACTCATTCAGTGTTCTCATCATCATTTACTCACACCGGAACCGAGAAACATCTATAACAATTTTCTCTCCTCTGTAATTCCTACCACTCTCTTACACGTGCCTTTGTACACACAAACACATGCTAACATGCCTCTTTAATCTACAAGACTGGTATTCTCTATCTCCTAAATGTCTTTGGAATTCATCCACACATCTCTCTTCATCACCACTGTACAGCTTCATGATTTCTGCCTGCATTAACACAGTCTCATAAGTGGTTTCTTGATCTCCTCTATTCATCCATTCTCTACACAGCAGTTATAGTGGCTTTGAAAAAAAAATCCAATCTGCTCAGGTCATTTTCCTGCATTAAGATTTTCCACATCTCCTGCTTGCTTTGTGTCCAAGATCAAAATCATCAGCACAGATGGGCTGCCAGGTCCTGCGTGGGTGGCTCCTGTCTCCCTCCCACCTCTTCTCCTGCCCCTCTGTCCAACAAGCTGGGATTCTTGCCACTCCCGACATGCTCTTCTGTCCTGAGGGCTTCACCCCTTGCTGTACCTACTGTCTGAAACTGTTTGCTCTATTTCCTCATCGTCTGGAACCGTTGACTCATACTTCAGAGCTGGGTGTAATCTCTGGTCAATTAGTCCACTGGGAAGGAAGCAGTGAGCAAAGGGTGAAAACTAGCCTGGGCCCTGAACAAACAGACACATGCCTAGGAAGATGATCTCAGACCTGTCTTCTCAGAGTGCCATCTCCTTGGAAACTTCTAGGTTATCATGATCAATATGGAATGCCATGTACTAGGAGCTGGTTTACCATAAAACTGCTGGGCTTTTATATTGTTCCTTGACTGAGAGAGCTATGCCTGGCACATAAATGTAGAGATTGAACACCATAAAGACCAAGTGGAAACCAAGGCAGCTGATTCTACATGTCCAGGTAATAATCTCATCTTGGATTTTGCTTATAGTAATCATACCTGCCTGTGAGGGTGAGGGGTCAAAGAAGCACTGTATACAGCAGCTGTTGGACCCCCTTTAAGATGTGGGTGCAATGTGTCCTATCGAGGATCATTCTAGAGAACTTGGTAAACCTCATATTATATTAACACCTATAGAGTCTTGCAAGTGAAATGAGAGAAGCCTTCCCTAATTCTACAAAGAGGATCACAACTCTCAGCACTTGCATGTCTCCCTGATAATACTTATCATACTTTCTAGTTGCCATGTGTCACATAATGATTGGGATATGTTCCAAGAAATATGTCATGGCAGGGCTCGGTGGCTCAGCCTGTAATCCCACACTTTGGGAGGCTGAGGTGAGTGAATTGCCTGAGCCCGTGGGTTCGAGACCCACCTGGGCAACTTGGCGAGACCTCATCTCTACAATAAAGCAAAAAAAAAATTAGCCGGGCATGGTAGCACGCGCCCATAGTTCCAGCTACTTGGAAGGCTGAGGCGGAAGGATCGCTGGAGCCCAGCAGGTCGAGGTTGCGGTAGCCGGGAGCGTGCCACTGCACTCCAGTCTGGGCGACAGGGTGAGACTCCAACCAAAAAAAAAAAAAAAAAAAGAAATATGTCATTAGATAATTTCATGGTTGTGCAAACATCAGAGTGCACTTCCACAAACCTAGATGGTGCAGCCTACTACATATCTAGGCTGTATGGTATAGCTTGTTACTTCTAGTGTACAAACCTGTACAGTATGTTACTGTAGGCAACTGGAACACAATGGCATTTGTGTATATAAACGTACACAAAGAAAGACACTAAAAGTATGGCATTATAATCTTATAAAACCACCATCATATATGTGGTCTGTCATCGACCTAAACATCCTTATGCAATGCACAAAGGTATTTTCTCTACATCTGTCTTTCCTGGAAGACATCAATTTTAAAAGTGCAGAGCTGCCTTGTTCATAATTGCATTCCTTGGGCCTTACTCAGAAATCAGCACACTGTAGGTTTCTGATATCTCTTTGTTATTGAAGAGTGAATGGAATCTATTTCATCAGAGTGCCTCATACATTATCTTAATTTGAAATACACTCAATAAATCTTCAGTGAATTGAATCTTTCACCACAGAAAGCACTGATATCCTGGAAGAAGGAAGGGTTGTCCAAGAGGGCCAGAGGTCTATCAGCTGTTGGGGTGATATGTATAAATGCATGTGCAACTGGAGGCAGTGGTGGTCAGCAGACACCAAGAGAAGAAACATGCTCAGACAGTCTTGCATCAGGGAAATGCATCTGAACAGGAAACAAGGGCCTCCTAGGGCTCTTAGTCATAACATCTCTTCTCACCTTTGAAAGCCTTAAAATAGTCACTCTAAAAGTTGAAATATTCTAAGTTTTCAGTACTGTCTTATAAGCTACCAATTAACACAACTAGGGGAAAAGCTACTCAAAGCATTTGTAAATAATCTTTAATTTAATAATACAAGTCTAAACCCACTTAGACTCAAAAAATTATTGAAACTGGGTGAGAGCTATCATCATTGCTTCTGACAGTCATTAGATGAAGACTATTTGCTACATCACTCTAACACATCTAGAGGTGCTCTACTCGGGAGGGAAATGGAGAGTATAAATCTCTTACCTGATACCCATCCAGGGGCCACACATTTTGAATTCAGTGGAATTTCCTTTCTTTTCAAAGCAACTGTCTGAGAGGAAAGAGTCATAAATTCAGATTTTAAAAACATTGAAAGGAAAGAGAATAACAAATATGCCAGATTATGCTTGGAAACAGATTGTTCTGAGTCCTCTAAAATGATCAAAGTGGATTTCCAGAGAGGAGTAGGGGCCTAAGCCCTCAGGAAGGAGCAAGGGAGGGAAAGAAGAAAGGAAGGAAAAATGGGAGGAGGAAGAGGTGACATCGTTACGGCGCCTTGCCCCTCAGTACATAATATTGAACTGGAGGCTATCCTTGGGGGAAGCCGGACGCAGACTCAGTCCATGACAGACATGGAGAGTCACATGAGATTTAGGACACATGAAATAGGTGTAAGGTGGACCTCACTGTGGAGAGGTTGGCCACTAAAAGAAGTGGTGTCGTGGTGTCATTAAAGAAAACACATGGGGAAGGGCCTAGGAAGCTTCTGGTTCCCTTTGGCCAAATCCAGGCATTCTGAACGCATCTGCAAAACACTACAAAGAAGTAGACTGAGATCTGAATGGCAAAGGATGGAAGAACATAGAACTGTTGTTGTGGATGTGGTTTTGGGATTTTCCTTCTCCAGAGAAACCTAAAGAATGAGGCAGTCTACTGAAAAACGCATCTGCCTACATGAACACCTGAATGAACAAAGTCCCCTCCATTACAGAGAGACTCTGTAATGCAAGCATGCAAGCAGTATGAGAGCAGATGAGTAAAAAAAGTTAACCACACAAAAACCAAGGAGCGAAAGGCAGGGTACTTACCATGAGCTTCAATATTGCTGATATTTTCACAGTCTTTCCTGATACATTTCTGGTTCAGACTCCCCATGAAGAGTTGCTGACCTATCAGGGCAAAGATGCTGAGGCAAAAGAGGGTCAGGATCATCACGTTGACAAGCTTCTTCACAGAGCGCAGCAGGGCTCCGACAATGACCTTCAGACCTAAGGAGGAGGACAGGTCTGGGGAGAAGCCTGGCCCCCTCAACTAAGGTCTTGGAGGCTGGAATAGGAAACCGGCCTAGCCTAGGATTCTGCTGCCTTGAGTTCTTGCTCCAACTCTGTGCCTTAGAGGCTGTGTGTCACAAAGCAATCAACTGATCTGGGATTTGACTTCTTCACCTCTACCCTATGCTTGTCTCTGAACTGCTGCTACCCTATGCTTGTCTCTGACAATCCACCATCAAGGTATGAGGTGCCATGAGACATAGCTAAATTGGAAGACGAGAGGGTTATAGAAGGAACTCCTTCTAGATCCAAATAATGTGGCTGTGCTGGTGGGAAAAAAGAACCTCAGATTACCAGTTATAGTAGGATGTTTTTCTTTTTATTCATCCATTCAAGAAATATTTACTAAGCACCTACCATGTCGTTAGCACACTGTCAGGCTGCCAAAGTTACACAATAAGAAGGCCATAATCTTGTGGTATGCTAGTGGATGTTTAAAACTGGCTCTTCAAACAGGGGTTGAGGAGGGCTCTGATTTGTTCCATTTACAGGTTTTCTTATTTGCTGATTTCTCTAGCATAGATCCTGATTCCCTCTCATTGTAGATTTCAAGCTACCAACATAATGTCACGGGATGGAAAAAGAACAAATCAGCTCCAGTAATCTATTGAGACACTGTCTTTGCTCTCAAGACAGCTGGAGAGATAAACTCCCAGATGTGAATTCCAATATGTGAGATAGTGACAAAATTTCAACTGATCAGTATAGACCATGAATGTTGAGATTGAAGGTGGGGGAGGTGAGTGCACATGGCAGTATCCAGTGGGAGGTTGTGAGGCCAGTGAGAGGGTCTGGAGGCCAAGCTGGGACACTCACTATATCACCAGTTGAAGGCAAATCAGAGATTACTACAACCTCATCAAGAGGTTTTAAAGCCAGATTTTAATCTATAACAGGAGTCTTCTCCAAAGCAAGAAATTTATATGAGTGAAGGAGATACTAACCTGCAAAATGACTGCCTGCATGTAGGTTTTCTTGATAGATCGATTGTATACATGGTGTGAGCAAACTTAGGATGACTCCTAGGTTTGCCCATATTAAATACAAGGAACTCAACTCACACAGACAACTCCTAAATATAACTGGAAACAGATCCTACTTGCAAGAGAGGAAGAAAGGAAGAAGGAGAGACAAATTCTACATGAAGTGTCCTCTGACTGTCAGTTTCTTTATCACTATACAATTGCTTTTCTTGAGTTTCAAAAAATAGCCCAGTGCCTCTGTTGAAAGGATTCAAATTGCCTAGAGTTTGGGTATTGGGGCAAGATGGTTTCGTTTAAGTCTATATAATTGGCACAAGCAAATAGTTCCCATGACTTTTCATAGTTTGCCAAAGCTACTGATAGAAGAGAATAGAAGGAAAGGGAAGGAGGGGAAAGTTCCCTGGAAAGGGAAGATTTTTAAATGTAATTTTTGTTTGTTTCACTAAAGAAGAAAGAGGAAAAAGGAAAGAGAGGAGAAGAGTATGCCATAATATTTTAATTTTTCATAAGCTGGAGTTCATATTCACAATCCACCCTTGGCATCATCCTGATTCCCAGGCTAGAGTACCTTCCTCTCCTGGCTCCCAGGAGAACATTGTTGGTTTCCCTCCTACTTTGCTGGTGGTTCCTCCTCATCTCCTTTGCTGGTCTCACCTCCTTTTCCTCCCTAATGATGCTGCCAAGCCCTAGGCTCAGGTCTTGGTCCTCTTCTGTTCCCATCCATGCTCATTCCCTTGGTGACTTCACCAGATTCTATGACTTTATATACCATCTCTAGGTCCATAATTCCCTACATGGTATCTCCAGCTCAGACTGCTCTCTGGAAGCTCAGACTCATACATCTAATTGCCTGCAGGATTCTTTCTCTTGGTTGTTTGACAGCCATCTCAAACACAACATGTCCAAAGCCAGCTCATAATCTGACCTCCATGGCCTGCACTTCTCATATCCTACTCTGTCTGTTAGAGACAATTCCATTTTTCCGGTCACTCAAGCCAAAAACCTAGGAGTCATCCTAAGTTTGCTCACACCATGTATACAATCAACCTATCAAGAAATCCTAGCCAGGCTCGGTGGCTCAGCCTGTAATCCCGCGCCTTTGGGAGGCTGAGGTGAGTGGATTGCCTGAGCCCGTGGGTTCGAGACCCGCCTGGGCAGCAAGACCTCGTCTCTACAATAAATCAAAAAATCAGCCGGGTGTGGTAGCGCATGCCTGTAATTCTGGCTATTTGAAAGGCTGAGGTGGAAGGATCACCAGAGCCCAGCAGTTCGAGGCTGCGGTGGCCGGGAGCAGCCACCGTACTCCAGTCTGGGCGACAGAGTGAGACTCCAACTCAAAAAAAAAAAAAAAAAAAAAGAAAGAAGTCCTATAATTTCTGCCTTCAAATTGATACAGAATCTGACCACCAATGCCATAGCACCAGGTCATTGGAGAGCACTACCATCTCTTATTTGGATTATGGTCTCTTGTGTCAGGTTGGGTTTTGAAAAGCAGACATTCTAGGATCAAATGTGTAAGAGATTTGTTGAAGGGAAGGACAGGGAATGCCTATGAAAGATGAAGGATAGGAGGAAAGAGCGGGCAAGGAGAGGCTTCAGACTGTGATGCAGGTCTGACATTGGAGAAAGGAGAGAGGCAAGGAAGCAGGATTGGATAGAACCCCAACTGCAGTTCAACTGGAAGTCTCAGCCAGTTGGCCAGGGAGCCCATGAGCCATAGTTTCCCATTAGAGGAGCCCCATATTCTTCAGGAATGGGCCAGCACTAGCACCCCGGCCATGCAGGGCAAGCTTGATCTTGGCATGAGCATGAATGCAGCAGTGAATCCAGAGGAGTGGCAACTGAAACCATTAGTCTGCTATGCTCTCTGTAGCAGGAGAAGGGAGCGGTGCATTTCCGTAATAACCACCACACCTCCCACCTGGTCCTCCTGCTTCTCCCATCACTCCCCTACATTCTGTTTTCCACACATAGCCTCCGGTTTCTTAAAGCAAAGCCCAAGTCCTCCCTCTGCCTACAAGCCTCCTCTTCACTTCTGTGAGCCCCTTTCCACAGCTGGCCCCTCACTCCCTCCACTCCAGCCCCATCCTCCTGCCCTTCTGCGCTGTTCCTTAGTCTCTATGCTGGCAGTTCCCTGTGCTTAGGACACTCTTTCCCATACATCTGCTGTGTCACTTTCTCACCACCTTCAAATCTTTGTTCTTCTCTCACCTCAATGACACCCACCCCGATGACTCTGTTTCAGACTGCAACCTACTTCTCCTAGTCCCTGTGACTTCCTAAAGCCCTCTGGTGTTTACTTTTTGTTTTCCATTTACATAGCACTTTCTCACATGCTGCAGAATTCACTTATTTATTATAGTTATTGCTTCGTTTCTGTCTCCTTGACCTCCACTCTAGCAGGTAAACTCCATGAAGCCAGGGGTCTTTGTTTTCTTACTGATAGATCACAAGAAGCTAGCACAGTTCCTGGACAAACTAAGTACACAATAATTATTGGTTGCGTTATTAAATAAATGTGTAAAGCAGGGCTTGTTTGTCTCTGCTTTACATAATGACATTTTGAAAAAATTTATTTATATATTTACTTTATTATTTTTTGAGTCGGAGTCCCACTCTGTTGCCCAGGCTGGAGTGCAGTGACGTGCTAATGACCACCACAGCCTCGATCTGCTGGGCTCAGGTGATCCTTACACCTCAGCCTTCCAAGTAGCTGGAACTACTGACGTGCGCCATCATGCCCCACTAATTTTTCTTGATTTAATGTAGAGAGGTCTCACTAAGTTCTCCAGGCTGGTCTCGAACCTGTGGGCTCAGGCAATCCTCTTACCTCAGCCACCCAAAGTGCTGGGATTATAGGCATGAGCCACCATGCCTGGCAGTGTGGGGAGGGGGGTCCCTATAGCAAAGAGTGAGTATTGAAAGTTAGAGTGTGACTTACCTGAAACTACTGAGATTGCTTTCAAAGCTCTGAACACTCGGAAGGTTCTCAAGGACAGCAGATTGATGTTGACTTTTGGAAGATAGGACACAATCCTACAAGACAAAGCACAGAAGAAGTCTGGGCTTGCTTAGCCCTGCAGCTGCAATGCACATTTCCCCAAAGGCTACAAGTAAACACAGCCTGAGGCCTGGTCCACCCAGGTGAAATTTGCGTCCTCACCTTCCCAGGCCCATCTTCACTGCAGGATCTGGCAATGTCACTGTCCAGTGCAATGAAACATGAACAGCACAGGAGGCTGTTCTCAGCTCATCTTCATATGTGGACACAAGTGAGTATTCCTTGAAATAGTTCGTGCAGTTGTGGCTACATCCATGGAGAGTAGACATCCTCTCGATGTTTATTTACTGGCTGCCAAGTTCCAGGCCCCATGCACTTTGCAAAAGTCTCTCAGCAACTACATGGCCAAGTCTACATGTGAACCCAGGCACTCTGGCTCCAGAGCCCATACTCTCAACCACTGTGCTATACCACTTTTCAATAACTAAGAGCATGCAACCATTAAACCTCAAGTGTAAAACTCTGAAATTAATAGCACATATCTCCAAGGGCTTTCGTCAATAGTAATAGGAAAATACATGCAAGGTGCTGAACACAATGCCTGGCACACATTAAGGAATATTAGGTGTATTCTTGTACTGGCAATAGCCTTTGCTTTCTCACTTTTTTTTTTTCTGACTCCATTTCATCTTTCAGATGCCAAATCAGTTTATTCTCCTTCAGGAAGAAATTCCACCCTCACCTCATGCCATACATGGTAATTAACTCGAAATGGGCCATGAACTTAAATATAAAAGCCCAAACTATAAAACTTCTAGAAGTCAACATGGGAAAAACTCTTTGTGACCTTGAAGTAGCCAAAGATTTTTTAGACTGCTTGTTTCCTCCCACATGCTCTAACAGTCCAATACATACAAAGTCCCTATCCTGGGACTTGCCACATCATATTATAACAGTCATTAGTTGGATATCTCTCTCTTTCCCTCTGGGTTGTGAGCTCCAGGAGGTTGAAAATCATGTCCTTTTTTTTTTTTCACTGTCATAACCTCTGTATCTTGCAAAAAGCCTGGTCCATAGAAGGCTGGTACTGGTGAGTAAATGGCTGAAGGAATGAGAGCACAAGTATAGACCTGGAAATGGGTTTGTGCAAGGAGGCCTCTGGCCAACTGGCTGCACTATGCTGTTCAGGACTCGCCAGTACTGCACTCAGAGCTCTAGGCATTATTAGGCCACACTCAACCACTCACATAGAGCCCTGATGGAAGCAAAGGGGCTTCTGTCCCACCCCAAGTCTCTTCAGTTAAAAAAATCTTTAACATCCTTACGCTGTTCCAATGACAATAGAGTCCAGCCAGTTCCATGGATCTCGAAGGAAAGAAAACTCATCCAGGATAAAACCTCTTGCCAATATTTTTATCAAAGCTTCAAAAATATAAATCCCAGTGAAGACATACCTACAAAGCAAATAATTCACAAAAAGGAATATGATAAGTGATGTGAAAAGCAAGGAGTCCTTCTGCTCTACCTGGCCTTGATATTTTATTTCAGTTCAGTGTGACATTTAACACACTGGTCTTCTGCAAACCAGAGTTTAGAAAGGCAAGTTTCTAAAGCAAGTTCTGGTGTTTAGAATTTCCTAGAAGTAGGCCAATAGATAAAGTCATAAAGCTGCTTTTCAAGGCCTAGCTCCATGGCCATATTCTTGAGAATAGTCTCAGTCAATATGAAGTACTAAGACTGGAGGTTGCAGTTTGTCACTACAATTCTAGAGCTGTCACTCTGATGTAGAGAAGATGCTGATGGCAAGGGAACAATGGAGAGCGAAAATGACAAGCAAAAAAAACTGGGTCTTTCCATACCCTGTATTCATGGATTAGAAGATTTTATATTGCTGAGACATCATACTACCCAAAGTGATTTTACAGATTCAGTGTAATCCTTATTTGATCCTCAACGATAATTTATAACAAAATATAAAAATCCAGTCTGAAATTCATAAGGAATTTCAAGGGACCCTGAATACCAAAACAATCATGGGGGTATCATACTTCCTGATACTAAAACTTATTACAAAGCTACAGTAATTAAAACAGTGTGGTTCTAATATAAAAACAAACATATAGACTAGATAAACATATAGACTAAACAAACAATGGCATAGAGAGCCCAGAAATAAACTTTCACATATATGGTCAAATGAGTTTTAACAAGGATGCCAAGACTAATTCAATTGGAAAAGGACAATCTTTTCAACAAATGGTGTTGGCAAAACTGAATAGCCACCTACAAAAAAGTGAATTTAGAATCTTATCTTACACTGTATACAAAAATTAATATGGATTAAAGACCTAAATGTAAAACCTGAAAAAATAAAACTCATAGAAGAAAATAGTTGCAAATCATATATCTAACAAAAGGGTTAACATCCAGACTATATAAAGAACTCCTACAATTCAACATCAAAAAATTAAATAACCTAATTTTAAAATGGTCAAAAGATTTGAATAGCTATTTCTCCAAAGATAATATATATATGGCCAACAAACCTATGACACAATGCTCAAAATCACTATCCATTAGAGAAATACAAATCAAAACCACAGTGAAATGACCTTGCACCCATTAGGACGGCAACTATTTAAAAAAAGGCATCAGATAACAGATGTTGATAAGGGTGTGGAGAAATTGGCATACTTGTACACTGTTGGTGCATTGCAAAATGGTGCAATGCCTGTGAAGAATAATATGGAGATTCCTCAAAAAAGTAAAAATTGACCAGCCACATGATCCAAGAAGTCCACATCTAGTTGTATATACAAAAGAATTGAAAGCAGGACCTCAAAGACATATTTGCATGCTCATGTTGATAGCAGCACTATTCACAATAGCCAGGAGGTGGAAGCAACCTAAATGTCCTGTAAGTAAATGAAAACAATGTGGTATATACATGTGTTGGAATATTAATCCACCTTAAAGAAGAAAGAAATTTTGTCACATTCGACAACATGAATGAACTTGAAGGCATTATACTAAGTGAAATAAGTCAGTTACAAAAAGACAAATATTGCATCACTCCACTTATATGAAACAGGCTGAAGGGAAGAGTGGAATGGGGAGCTAATGTTTCATGGGTATGGAGCTTCAGTTTTGCAAGATGAAAGAGTTCTGGAGATGAATGATGGTAGTGTGATGAAACAACATAAATGTACTTCATTCCACTGAACATAAAAATGGTTATGATGGCACATTTTATCACATTTTTTTCTAAAACCTGGATCTTTTCCTGTTTCTTCTCTGAATCTTACACCATGTTCTATCCTTGCTATAGTTTGAATGCCCCCTCCAAAGCTCCTGTTGAACTTTAATTGCAATTGTGACAATATTGAAAGGTAGTTCCGGCTGGGCTCAGTGGCTCAGCCACTGAAAGTTAGCTTGTGTTCGTCCCAATCTCAGAGTTTCTATGTTTTGAGCTCACAGGCGCTTAATCTCAAAGATCCCAGCACTTTGGGAGGCCGAGGCGAGTGCATTGCCTGAGCCCGCAGGTTCGAGACCCACCTAGGCAACTTGGTGAGACCTAGTCTCTACACTACATCAAAAATTAGCCAGGTGTGGTAGCGCACGCCTGTAGTTCCGGCTATTGGAAGGCTGAGGCAGAAGGATTGCCGGAGCCTAGTGGGTTGAGGCTGCGGTAGCTGGGAGCATGCCACTGCCCTCCAGTCTGGGCAACAGAGTGGAACTCTGACAAAAAAAAAAAAAGGGTAGTTTCATTAAGAGTCATGAAGGCTCTCCCTCATGAACATATTAATACCATCATCTCAGAAGTGAGTTTCTGATAAAAAATGAGATTGGGCCTCTCTGCTTTGCTCTCTCACATATGCTTTTTTGTTGGGAGCCAGCCACGGAGGCCCACTGAGCATTAGGGATCAGGAAGGGCCGTTGACCCCGAGACCACTAGAATGCGTTCGGGAGCTATTGACCCCATTTCCTCCTCCTTTCTACTCAGCACTAACCAGATTAAGCTCCTGTGAGCTCACAACATAGAAACTCTGAGATCTTGATGAGCACAAGCTAACTTTGGAAGCTCATTGCTCCCATTCTTCCTCAAACTGCAGTTTTGGCTTTCACACAACTTATAATTTAAACTCGTGTCTCATCTAAGAGCCTTAGTATTGGTCACAGGCTTCTGGGTCATGATCTTAGGATTTATTGAAGGTGTAAATTGTAGAATATAGTTTTAGAAGACAGCCATTTTGTTGAAAGAATGCGGCTGGGTTACTTGCAGGTAGCCCACTGTGAACTTTGGACCAGGTCACATTCCAAACATTCTGGGATGGGCCACTTTCATTTGTAAAGTAAATACTTAAGCTTCTATAGAATTGTTTAACTTGGCATAAATCAATCAGTTTAGGATGAAAAAGGTTTATAGAATATATCAGTCACGGATTAGGTTATCCTTTGTTATGGGATTTTAAGATTATCATATGAAAAGGGCTTAAAGGCAATCATTGATTAAGTTTTCATGAATTAAGGTATCTGGTGGGTGGGGGACGCCCCTCCCACATCTGACTTTGTGTATAAAAGACCCGTTGTAATTCCCAGTAACACACATCGCTTCTGCACTAGACTGGAGTCCAGTCTCTTTCTTTCTCTCTCTCTCTCTTTCTCTCTTCTTCCCCCCAATTGCCGACGCCATCTCCACCTTTGGGGTACCCTGAACCCAGCTGGAGCTGGTCTCCAGCACTTTTTTTTTTTTTTTGCTGTTCTATCTTCTACCATGTAATGATGCAGCATGGTCCCTCAGTCTTAGGCTTCCCAGCCTCCAGAACTATAAGAAATAAACCTGTGTTTTTTAATAAACCCAGTCTGTAGTATTCTGCTATAGCAACACAAAATGGTCTGACAATCCTCTAATTTACTTCCCTTTTTCTCTTTCCCTTAAAAAAAAAAAGCTTATGTCTTTTGTTATAATCCCAAGCTCTCAAAAATGCTGGATTTGTGCATGTGTGTGCCCATACACAGAGACACATACACAGGTATTTGTGGCTAAAACAATCAATTCAGTCAAATACCTGTCAGTTCAGAGTTAAAGAAGTAGACCTTTTCTGGTAGACTATCCAGCCACTATTAGACTTCAAAGTTAAAGAACCAAGGTCATGCATGAGAACTTAAAAACCTCAAAGTAGCCAAGTCTAAGAGCAGAATAAAGAGAGAAGACTTACTGTATTTCACCAAAAGAGCTGGGCAGGGCAAACTACTGCTGTGGAAACAATATCACCTCCTGATCTGCCTCCTCCACAGGTCCTGCCCTACTGATCATAAAGCCTTCCAAGGAAGCTATAGTAAGCAATGAGCAACAGCCACTACACTCTCCCCACACAGTGGCCAACTCTCCAAATGGGAGACCATATTCCCCAGTGCTGCTGCCAGGATGGTTTCTAATCCCCAGGTTATCCATGCCCTCCTCAAGGCACAGCCCCTAAGCTGATTGGCGTTACGCAAGTTCTAGATCTTGCCCAGCAACAGAGAGGGACGGTCCCTACAAAACCCTACCTAGGAGGGAAAATAATTCTCCAGAGACAAATGGACTAAATCAGAACTTGTAGTCAAAGAATGGGCAATTTCAAAAGTCTGACCTCTAACCCATGTCCCAGAAACCACTAGAATGAAATAAGGGAGAACAGATGTAGTCTGTGATTTAAAGAACATTTCAAGGAAAAAATGGCATGGAAGTAACTGGAGACTTCCTTCTCAAATTCCCATTAAAAATCTGTGGTGCCATCTGAAAATAAAAACATGTCCTAAATGTTTTATTCTAAAGAAGCAAAATGAGAATAAGCATCATCCAGATTTCAGAAGGAAAGTCTCCAAGAGTCATCTATCTTCCATTGGAGTATCCAATCTCACTCACATAGTGCCTTTCCTCTGCTTTCTCTGCTTTTTACCTCCAAAATCTGAGAGTCCTTGGTTCCACTCCTCTTCAGAGGCACACACAGCTGCTAGCCAGCTCCCATCATCACACCTCTAGTTTGAGTGCTTTCTTACCCATGTGCTCAAGTCCCTCAAGCCTTACACAGAGTAAATGAGTCTTTGCTCCATATTTTATAAATATTAGATCAACCATTCCATTCACAAGACACTTCTTATGTTTGCCTGAATCTGAGTGGGTCTCTTTGAATTACTAGAGGATTTGAAAGGAAACGTATAGCTGTAAGGGTAACTAGTATGGGAGAGGTAGTACAATACCTCGAATTTGTCATTAAGGCACCGGAAATGCTACAATCAACATCTTTAAAAAAGAACCTGCAAGGAATTGAATCAAAGAGTAGAGAAAAACAAGAATACAAAAGGCATTTGGAAGATATTAAAAAATAAAAACTCCATATATCAAAATCTACAAGACAAAGACAAAGTCGTACCCATAAGCATTGTCCTTATAAATAGTTTCATTATTTAC